CTCAGCTGTTGTGTCCATCTTAGGAATGAAGCACTAACTCAACACAAGGCAGATTTCTCTCTGTGGGCCCGGCGTGGTGGCGCAAGTGGTTAAGGTCCTCGCCTTGCACGCCCCGGGATCCCATATGGGCGTCGGTTCTATCCCGGCAGCCCCACTTCCCTTCCAGCTCCCTGCCTGTGGCCCGGGAAAGCAATTGAGGACGGCCCAAAGCTTTGGGACCCTGCACCCGCGTGGGAGACCCGGAAGAGTTTCTTGGCTTCGGATCGGCATAGCATCAGCCGTTGCGCTCACTTGGGGAGTGAATCATCAGACGGAAGAACTTCCTCTCTGTCTCTCCTCTCTGTATATCCGCCTTTCCAATTAAAAAAAAAAAAAAGATTTCTCTCTGTAACTTTGACTTTCAAATACAAGGTACTTCAATGGAGACGCTGCAGGAGTTGGGGAGGAAGAAGCGTGGATGATTAGCCAAGGCATTTCAGGACAAATGAAACCAACCTTCCACGTCTAAGGAATAGCATTTCTCCCATAGGGGTACACCTTCAAATGCAACAGGAACTTGATGCTCCAGAATGGAGTTTTCTGTGGTATCTAGAAGTTGGCAAACTTCTGGAAACTAGGCCTGCCTAAAAGTTATATTTGGCATTTGAGGGAGTTATTTTTTTTTAGGAGTTCAAAAAAGGAAGTCATAATTACTGCCAACTCTTCAAGCTTCCCAGCAACACCCTCGTCTAGGCTCTCAGACACAATCCCTGCTCCTGTCTGAATGTTTATATTTTCCTTCAAGTTCATGTGTTGAAACCCTAACCTCTGTGGCCATGAGGACGTGGGACTTGGGGAGGGGAGGAGGTCCTAAGGGCGGTGCCTCAAATACATGAGCACCACTCTGTGTCAAGTACTCAGTGCTTTTCATTGCTTTTCATCCAGTGTTTCTGGAGCGATCCTGATGGTCATTACGAATGAAACTCCTCAAAACTAACAAACAAACAAACAAACACTCTAGAATGGATAGAGAACAACAAGGAAGGCTTAGAATCAGACAGGAAGTGGTCAGCGGGGATGCGCTTATAACTCACTGGTGGAACACAAAGATTAGTTGCTCCTCACTAGGGTATTGAAGATTTCTCTGCACACCCCTCCTAAAACTGTTCACCTAAACTGTTGACATATGTCTTGTTAGAGTTATAGAGTTAGACTACCCAAAAACAGCCAGGTTCAGCAAAATCATGCTTCAACGCTATAAACTGCGACAGACTAAACAGAAAATAGACATGAGACAGCTGAATAGTAGTAATCTATAGCCATTTTAAAGTGTATAGAAACCAGTTGTATATAAACTAATAATTGAAATGTCAATGTAGAAGTCACAGGATGTGGTTCAGAACTTGCATTCTTTTTTTTTTTTCTTTTAACATATTGGTTACTCAATACCATGTCAACTAATTCCATAACGTTATAAATTGTTACTGATGTAATGTTGGGGCTTTTAATTGATTGGGATGATACTCTGCCAGCTCTACCTTCAGACCAGAGATGGTCTCTCCAAGAAACCGTTGAACTTACCAGGATAATATGATGCATAAATGCTTGGTAGATGCTTGCAATGAAAGAATCTCAACTGAATTTGAACTGTGGTAATGCAACAAGGTGGAGGAATCCACCATGGGGGTGGTTGGGGAGGGGAGGGGAATCCCAGTGCCTATAAAACTGTGTCACATAATGCAATGTAATCAATTAAAAAAAAAAAAAAAGACACAAGAGACACAGAAAAAAAAAAAAAAGGGATTGATTGACATCCCAGAAGTACAGTGGGCTTAACATGGAGCTACCTAAGCAGCAATTCAAAGCCCCCAAATCCCAGAGCTGGCTGCCAGGGGGCCAGCAGGCAGAGCCTGGTGGCTGGAAGTTTTAATCCCCAGACCCCAAGATCGCCCCCTCTCCAATCCCATCCACTACACAATGATGGCAGCGGGTGGGGCCCAGGCCCACCCAGCTCTCCAGACTTCCCCCTTCAGTGTACTCACCATGAAGGGAGCAGCCTCTGGAGTTCGGGCAGGCCCAGGGACAGGTCACCGCGTGAACACAGGGTGCTGGAAGTTTTAATCCCTTGAATTTGTTCTTTTGAAAAATGTCTGTTCATTTCCTTTGTCCATTTTATTACAGGGTTTTTTTTTTCTGTCCCTGGGTTTCTGAAGCTCTTTGTAAATCCTGGATATTAGTCCCCTATCACTTGTGTAGTGTGCAAAAATTTTCTCCCATTCTATTGGTTGCTTCTTCACTTCATTGTTTCCTTTGCTGTATAGAAGCTTTTTAGTTTGATGTAGTCCTGTTTGTTCATTTTGGCTTTGATTGCCTTTGCTTTTGGTGTCTTTTCTAAGAAGTCTTTCCCTGTTCCTGTATCTTGGAGTGTGCTTCCTATGTTTTCCTTTAATAGTTTGATGGTTTTGGGGTGTAGATTTAGGTTTTTCAACCATGTAGAGCTGATTTTCATATAATGTGACAAGTGTGGTCTTGCTTCTACATCTGCAAGCTGCTATCCAGTTGTCCCAACAGCATTTATTGAAGAGACCAAGTTTTTCCCTGGATTGTTTTCAGTTTTCTTGTCAAAGATTAGTTGACTATACATGTGTGGGCTCCCTTCTGGTGTTTCTATTCTGTTCCATTGATCTTCTCTGTTTCTGTACCAGTACCAGACTGTTTTGATGACCACTGCTCTGTAGTATGTCTTGAGGTCTGGAATTATGATTCCTCCAGCTTGATTTTTATTCTTCAGGATAGTTTTGGCTACTTGTGGTCTTTTGGGATTCCAGATGAACTTTTGTATCATCTTTTCTATTTCTGAAAAGAATGTTGTTGGGATTTTGATTGGGATTGCGTTGAATCTGTATATTATTTTTGGTAATATGGTCATTTTGATGATGTTGATCCTGCCAATCCAGGAACATGGTAAGTTTCTCCATTTTTCAATGTCTTCTATTTCCTTTTTAAATGTTTTATAGTTTTCATCATAGAGGTCTTCCACATATTTAGTTAGCTTAATTCCTAGGTATTTAAGATTCCTCTCCTCTTTCTCGTTCATGGATGAGAAATTTCTTTCTCATTCATGGAATTATTTGTGTACACTAGTGCCATTGATTTGTGTTCATTAATTTTGTATCCTGCTACTCTGCCAAAGTCTCTTATGAGTTCCAACAGTCTCTTGATGGAGTCTTTTGGTTTTCCTATGTAGAGAATCATGTCATCTGCAAATACAGTCAATTTCATTTCCTCTTTTTCAATTTAGATTCCTTTTATTCTTTTTCTTGCCTAGTAGTTCTGGCAAGGACTTTCAATATTATATTGAAAAATAGTGGTGACAGTGGACATCCCTGCCTAGTTCTAGATTTTAGTGGAAAGGTTTCCAATCTTTCTCCATTTAGTATGATGCTGCCATTGGGTTTTTCTTGTGTTGTTTTGATTGTGTTGTAGAATGTACCTTCTATGCCTATCTTTTTTTTTTTTTTTATGCCTATCTTGCTTAGGGTTTTCAGCATGAAGTGGTGTTGGATTTTATCAAATGCCTGCTCAGCATCTATTGAGAGGATCACATGGTTTTTGTTTTACAATTTGTTGATGTGATGTATCACATTTATTGGCTTATTTATTTAAAAAAATAGTAATCAGGTGGCGGGCACTATTGTGTAGCAGGCTAAGCCTCTACTGGCTTTCCCACATAGATGCCAACTCATGGCCTGGCTGTTCCACTTTTTTTTTTTTTTAAAGAATTTATCTATTTTTATTGGAAAGTCAGATATACAGAAAGGAGAGACAGAGAGAAAGATCTTTTACCCGATGATTCACTCCCCAAGTGGCCACAACAGCTGGAGCTGAGCCCCCATCCAAAGCCAGAAACCAGTAGCCTCTTTTTGGCCTCCCACGTGGGTGCAGGGTCCCAAGGCTTTGGGCCGTCCTCAACTGCTTTCTAAGGCCAAAAGCAGGGAGCTGGATGGGAAGTGGAGCTGCCAGGATTAGAACCGGCACTCATACGGGATACTGGCACGTGCAAAGTGAGGAGTTTAGCCAATAGGTTATCATGCTGGGCCCCTGCTCCACATCTGATCCAGTCAGTGCTTAGGGTCTGGGAAAGCAGCAGGAGATGGCTCAAGTCCTTAGGTTCCTGCGATCATCTGGGAGACCCAGAGAAATGTCCTGGCTCCTAGCTTTGGATAGGTTCAGCTTCAGCCATTTGGGGAGTAAACCAGCAGATGGAAGATCTGTCTCTCTCTTTCTCTCTATAACTCTGCCTTTCAAAACAAGACAAAACAGAGTTCATCCTAATATATGGGAAGATTCAATGATCTACATATGCAGTGCTTTCCAGAATTTTAAAACTTCTATTTCAGTAATTCCTAAAATGGCTCAACAATGCCCCCAAATAAATGAGGCTCATGTTTCAAACCATAAAACAAAGTATCGCATTTCACTTTAAATTCTCCCTTTGTCCATAGCAGAAGTTAATTTTTAAAAGGTATTTTTTATTTTTGAAAAGGCAGCAAGAGACAAAGATCTTCTATCTGCTGGTTCACTCCCCAAATGGCCACATCAACCAGGGCTGTGCCATGACAATGCCAGGAGCTTCCTCTGGGTCTCCCATGTGGGTACAGGGTCCCAAAGACTGGGGTCATGCTCCCCTGCTCTCGAAGGACAGATGCAGGGAGCTGGATCAGAAGTGGAGCAGCCAAGACATAACTAGATGTCCATATGGAATGCTGGTGCTTGCAGGAAGACAATTAGCCAGTCCAGCCATCACATCAGACCCATGTCAAATGTTTTAATTTTTAAAAATGGTTTATACTTACTCTTAGAGATGGAGTTTCCTGAAGAATTAAACATAAAATTAATGTCCCTCCCAAATGTATTCTACTAAATATAAACTTATTTTTCTCCAGTCATAAAACAGACAAAGGATTCATTGTTCTCTAGTTTTATTACTTTTTAATTTTCCCAACACATTAACTAACTTGTTTTGAAATTTTTTTTCAGTGCATTTCACAGCAAAATGGAAAGGGAATCATTAAAATGGTTGTACATAAACCAATTCTTGTAATTTACAGTTTGTTCAAAAATCTGTTTTGCTGTTTTCACCCTATCCATCCCTCTAACAGAACACACTTATCAGAGCACAAAGCTTACACTTCTTAATGATGATGCAACAGACGCGGCCATCTACAATGGCTGGTGAATAACAGGTTCATGTTCCACACATTGATTGGAAGACTACGCAGGGAGAAAGAGTAAGGCACCACTCTTGGAAAATTAAGGTAGCTTGCAGTAACAAGTGCTGAGCACCACACGCAGGTGCTCGGTAAATACTCGAATGAAGAAAGCCATCATTAGCACTATTCATTGCCAACAATTCTTCCACCTCAATAAAATACTTATTTAAAAAAGAAAAAAAAAAGATTTGTACCTGAATACAACTTCCTAATATCTTTCTTATTATTATTTCATACTTTCTTCAATATTTAAATTTCCTTGAAAAGAAAAGCCATACCTTATATACACTCAGTCACACAGATAACTGAATTCCTGACAAGTAGGAATAGCCATGTGGTTTAATTCTCGAGTGAACAGAGGTAAAATAAAGCATACATATCCAGAGGGATAGTACATAATACTGGATATTAAGCTACAGATGAAAGGAAAAAAAAGGAAAAAAAGTAACAGTTTTAATTTTTCATATCTGCTATTTTCTTTAATGCCTTAGTTCTCAAGAAAGGCCAGAACCTCATCATACTGACATTAACACATTTTAAAAAATTTTCTCACAAGTGTAATATTTAATAAAACTAGGTATTGAAAAATGCTCTGAAATTTTTCAAGTCAATGTCGTTTTCAAGTATATTAAAATGCTCAGAAGAAAAAATCCTCCATGGTTACACCTCTAGTCAATTTATAAATAGAATTTTTAAAAGAGTGTTCCAACTGAGGTGGGTGACGGGCACGTTGCTCACGCACAGGCACACAGTCTTTATGAAGAAACAGAATGCCTTGTTACTACAGCTCGGTTGGATTTTTTGTTTTTGTTTTGCTTTTAACACTGATTTCAGGCACAATGGCTGAATCCACGTCTAGGTCATGTTCTTTCTCCTCTTGCTTGTTTTTTAAGAGTAGTGAATACTTCAGTTACAGACAAAAGGCAAAACACAAACTCTGAAAGAGACCTCACGTTTTACTACAAAGAAATCAAAGTCATTGAGTTCTCATGGTCTTCTATCTGCTGCCCCTGTGCAAAAAATAGGGGAGTCCCACTTAGCCTTCGGAGCAAGAACTGGAGAAGAGCTGAGTCAGTTAAGAATCCAGGTAAAAGGTTTTCAGGTGGTATTGCTCGCATCCTGTGAACAGAGTGGTGAGAGGGCCACTGTGTTTCCCCAACACTTTGGTCTCGCTGCAGTCTACCGGGGCCCCAGTGGCTACATTCATGTTGAGCTAGCTTCAGTGTGTGCAGCTGGGAAGCAGGTCACTCAGTGCGATGACTCCATTCTGGGAGGGTTTGGGGTAAACACAGAAGAACCGCATTTGGTCGAGTCTGAGAAAGCATGTGTCACTCCGCTGGCTGTGTGCTTGGAATTACTTTCCAGAGGGGTTTGTGATAAACCCAGCCATCTCCCTGAAAGAAGTCCAAGAAAAACAATCAGTCTTCCACTCTGAAAAACTCTAACCACAACTGGAAGCACTTCACTGTAATGTAACGCTCTTTTAACAGAGTTTCTTTGTGAAGACGCAGTCTCTTCGCCTAAGACTTCACATAATGCCTACAGTTTAATGAGGATTACATGAGAACGCTAATATGGGACGACTCAAGATGCTTTCTTTTGCAGAAGACATTATCTCAGAGCTACAGGCAGCAAGGGGAACACAAAGACACAGTCCAAGCAAAAGATGTTGCCCATCTAAACTTGCATCTCTAGAATGTGGTGTGCTTTGGGATTTTCTGGCCCTTTTCTGACTCCCTACCATCATTAGCTTCCCCTGGTTCTGGCCTCTCCTGTAAAAGGAGACAACATTGCAGTTGCAAAGTGAAGCAGAGAGTCCAGTGAGGAAAAGCCTGAAGCAAAACTCAAAAGCAGCACAGTGGGGTTGCAACTTGGCTGAGTTCAGTATTAATGGGTCAGATTTAAACCTCGGTCCTCAGCCTCCATAGCTCCTTCAACTCATATGTGTATTTTCAAAGTTTGCATATTTATTATACTTTGTTACAAAATGTCTTAAGAGTTGTCAGTTGTTTGGTTCATAGTGCTGGACTTCGCACCTTGAAGAAATTAGGCTCCTCTGAGCATCTCTCCACCCTTGCCACTTTCTGAGATGTATTTATTTATTTGAAAGGCAGAGTTAGAGGGGGGAAGTGAGCTCTTCCATCTTCTGGTTCATTCTCTGAGTGGCCACCGTTGCAGGCAGGGCCAGGTTGAAGCCAGGAGACTGGAGCCAGGAGTTTCCTCCAGGTCCCCCAAGAGTTGGCAGTAACTTCAGCACTTGTACCATCTGCTGCTGCTCTTCCCAGGCCCTTAGTACAGAACTGCACAGGAACTGGAGCAACCAAGGACCCAAACCAGCACACATACTGATAGCAGCTTTCCCTGCTCTATTATGATACCAGCACCATCAGCTCTGGCTCATAATTTATCTTCCTGAGATTTATTTAAAAATAATGAACAATAATATATATTTTTAATCTTCACATTGAACACAGACTTGAGTGCATCAGACTTCTATATAAGAGATGGTCTCTCATATCAGCTGACTGTTGGGGAACACATTGCTGTAAGTGTGCTTAGGTGATGTCTCCGATGCTACACAATGTCCTCTTACATTACTCCAAAATCTTGCTTCCTGGTAGAAAGTTCTTTGTGATAAGCTCCCAATTTTTGACAAAGCATATACTAAATGACACCCATGATTTGGTTCTCTGCTAACCCTCTCCACATGTTACCACTTTACGATCCACTAGGTATCCAGTTACATCTGTCATGTCTCTCTCAAAATGTAGTCTTTGGAAGTGAAGAGCATTTGGTACAAAAGGCAGTGAATAATAAGTTGCATTTGCTTTTTTGGTAACTGAAGATTCTGCTACCATTTGCATCTGTGGCCAATTTAGATTCCTAAATATATTGCATCAGAACTGCACTTAAACCAAATTGATTGGACAAAGTGTGAAATGCCCATTAGAAATCTCATGATTAGGGTGTACTACTTCTAAAAATAAAACTGGATACAACTAAGCCCAGTAAACCCTAGTCCCTACTCAGCAGATCCGAGCTTTGGCCAGCACCCACAAATGGCATACCTCTTTAACAAAATATTTGGTCTTCCAGGGAGTGCCTGTTTCAGTACGATGCCTTTCTTCAGCTCTCTGGCGTTCTTCCAGGGTTCGCTTATGCTCTGTGGCCTTGTCAATCTCAGATTCTCTCAGAGAGTCAGTCACATTTTTCCATAATCGCCTGAAATACAAAAACTACATATTTTACACAATCTCTAATGAAAAGATAACTGAATAGAATGGACAGCCTTCAATATTATATTAATTTAAATATATATACATATTTGATACATTTATATTTTAAAGATTTTTTTCACATTATAACAATTTTTTTTAAAAGATTTATTTTTATTATTTTTTTATTGGAAAGGCGGATATACAGAGAGCAGAGACAGAGAGGAAGATCTTCCGTCCGATGATTCACTCCCCAAGTGAGCGCAACGGCCGATACTATGCTGATCCGAAGCCAGGAGCCTCTTCCGGGTCTCCCACACGGGTGCAGGGTCCCAAAGCTTTGGGCTGTCCTCGACTGCTTTCCCGGGCCACAGGCAGGGAGCTGGAAGGGAAGCGGGGCTGCCGGGATTAGAACCAGCGCCCACATGGGATCCCGGGCGTGCAAGGTGAGGACCTTAACCACTTGCGCCACCGCGCCGGGCCCTATAACAATTTCTAAAGCTTATTTTTAAAACCAGCTCTGTACTTTCCTGCCCAAGAGCTACAAGATCACTGACACTGCTCCTGTCCATGATGCTGATTCTCTTGAAAGCAAAATAATCTGTATTTTCCCAAGCCATACAGGAAGCTGCTTATTTATTTTTTAAAAAGACTTTTATCTGGAATGTTTACAAAGGGGTAGAGACAGAAAATCTTCTCTCTGATGATTCACCTTCAAGATGGCTGAAAGGCCAGGCCTGGGTCAGGTCTGGGACAGGTCTGGAGCTTCTTCCAGGCCTCCCACACAGGTAGCAGGGACCCAAATATGTGGGCTAGCTTTTGCTACCTTTCCCAGCCATTAGCAGGGAGAAACAGAAGTGGATATCCTATGGGATATTGGCATTACAGGTGGTGGCTTTACCCTCTATGCCACTACACAAGCCTCAAAGATTTTTATAAGGATTAACAAGTAAAAAGTAAAATAAACTTCAAAAAATTTTAAATCTGTTTTTATTGGAAAGTCAGATTTACAGAAAGGAGAGACAGAGAGCAAGGTCTTTGGTCCACTGGTTCACTCCCCAAGTGGTTGCAACGGCCGGATTGAGCTGAAGTCAGAAGCCAGGCTCTTCTTACAGGTCTCCCACACGGGGATAGGGATCCAGGGCTTTGGATCGTCCTCTACTGCTTTCCCAGGCCACAAGCAGGGAGCCGGATGGGAAATGGAGCAGCCAGGACACAAACCAACAGCCATATGGGATCCTGGCACATGTAAGGCCAGAACTCTAGCCACTAGACTACCATGCATCAGGCCCAGAAAAATAAACTTAAAATGCTAATATATAAACGCAGACTACCTGTGTTTTGGACACAACGAGGACCACATTTATTCTCCTGTCTCTGTTGAGCAGGAAACCAGACAAAGGTGTTTAGCAAACAGGTAGGTATAGGGCAGTGATCTTTCAGACAGGGAAATAAATGAGAGGAGTATGTTGGGCATTACAGCAAAAAGATGAACTCACAGCCTTACATCACATCACAGACAGAAACTAATTCAAAATGGACCATAGGCCTCAATGTAGAAGAAAAAAATAGCCAATACAACTTCTAGAAGGAGATATGGGAGAAAATCTTGGAGGTTTTGGATAAGGCAAAGATTCTTTGGATGTAATATCAAAACTACAGTGAATAAAACAAAACATTAATAATTCTACTTCATCAAGAGTAAAATCTTTTATACTATAAAAGCAACACTAACAGAACGAGAAAAGATAGTGTGCTAGATGAAAGTATTTGCAAAACAGATATCCAAAAACTGTCATCCACAATTTACCATGAATTCTCACAAACAATAAGATAAACAACTCAAATAAAAAATAGATAAAGGATATAAAACTGTAACTTCATCAGAAGATACACAAATGATTAAAAGTAATAAAAACAGAAACAAAATCATTATCAGCAAAGAAACACAAACACCACAAAGTGACAGTACTGGGCACAAACTAGAATGGGAATAATAAATAAGACTTGGGATTAGTGTTTGGTCTAGTGGCTAGGATGCCAATACTCTATATCCAAGCACCTGAGCTCCAGTCCCGGCTCTATTCCCTGCTCCAGGTTCCTGCTAATGCGTACCCCAGGGGCCAGCAGATGATGGATTGGAATGCTTGAGTCCCAGCTGCCCACATGGGAGACTTGGATTGATTTCCAGTGTCCTGAGTCTGGTCTAGCTCAGAATCAGCTGCTGCAGACATCTGTGGAGTGAGCCAATGGATGGAAGGTCTCTCTGACTCCCAAACAAAGACAAACAGCAGCAAATGTTGAGGATGCAGAGCAAAGGGAACTATATTACATGCCTGGTGGGAATATACAATGATGCAGCTGTTTTAGAAAACAGTTTTGCAGTTTTTCCAAAAGTTAAACATAAAATGGTTATCCAACTCTGCAATTTCAATCCTAGGTATTTATCTAGGAGAAATAAAAGTGCATGACCACACAAAGATTTGTAAGACAATTCTCCTGACAATGCTCTGATTCATCACAGTCTCAAACTGGAAACGCCTATCAACTGCTGAGTAGATGGCAAAATGTGATGTGTCCACACAATGTAATGCTATACTCATCAACAAAAAAGGGTAAACCACTTATACATGCCATGTCAGGGACGAGCTTCAAATCACTAGGCTAAGGAAACAAGCCAGGAATATAAGCTCATATATTGGATCATTTCATTGACATGAAATGTTGACACAAGACTGAAAGTGGTTGTGATATGATCACAAATACACTGCAGCTATCTTCTGCGGCTCCTGGCTCATAAATGCTTTCCCAAAGCAGACCAAAGAAACTAGACTTCCTTTCTGCCAATTAGAAACCCTCATCTTCCTCACCTTTCTCCGATACCCCTTGGCTGACAGAAGAAGACCTCCATTTTAGAGGGAGTCCCTTGCCATGGCCAAGAGGAAGAGACACTTTGCAGAGAGGCCAGGAATCACTACAGCAGATAATCCCTGTAAAGTCTACTGGCATTAGATATGTAAAGAACTTTCCATAAAAATCCGCAAACACAGGAACTGGAGAGCTCCTACAAAGCTGAACACATGCAGGTTTCCGCAGGGTGGTACACCCAGAGAGCACACATGCTCCAAGCCCCCTTGTCCCGCCCTGCCCTATGTACCTTCCCATCTGTCACATCTGGAATACTTTCTTTCCTTCTTTCCTTCCTTCCCTCCTTCCTCCTTCCTTCCTTCCTTTCTTCCTCCCTCCCTCTCTCCCTACTTCCTCCCTCCCTCTCTCCTCCCTTCCTCCCATCCTCTCTCTCTCTTAAGATTTATTTTTATTGGAAAGGCTGATTTACAGAGAGAAGGAGAGTCAGAGAAAAGATCTTCCATTGCTAGCTCACATCCCAAGTGACCACAATGGCCAGAACCAGGCCAGTCTGAAGCCAGGTTCCCATGTGGGTGCAGGGTCCCAAGGCTTTGGGCCGTCCTCTTGCTCTCCCAGGACACAAGTAGGGAGGTGGATGGGAAGCGGGACCGCCATGATTAGAACCAGTGCCCATATGGGATCCCGGTGCGTTCAAGGCGAGGAGGATGTTAGCTGTTAGGCCAGCGAGCTGGGCCCCCTAGTAGGTATTTACAGTTTTTCTGTTTTTGTGATCTACCCCTTTACCTCCGCTACCCATCTCCTGTTACTAATTTGTAAGAACATTTACAGTTCTTGCAAACCCTCCTCAAAAACTTATGCTCAGTTTAAAAATACTTGAAACTTGCTAAAATATAACTATTTCATATAATGTCATACTTCAGTGGTGAGTTTAAGACAACCAGATCAAACCAACCCTAATCAACGGACTGATGTAAACCAATGAAATAACCGACGGTCACGGGTTGTTAGTAAAAAGGTTTGCATTAACACACGGAGTTTTGGGGCTGGCTTTATAGTGCTGATTAAGCTACCACTGGTTTTAATTTTTTCCTTTGATTTTAAGATTTATTTATTTCAAAGTTAGACTTAGAGAAAGCCAAACACACACAGATGTGGGCAATTGCTTCCGGGGCTCTGCGTGCTACCTGGTGAGAGCGGCTTAGAGTGCACCTGCCTATGGTGTGAGGCACAGCTTCCAGGCCTAACTGTGGAGCTGACCTCCAATGAGAACAGGAGGTCTAGGGGAATATGCATGGTATATGACCTCTGACCTGACCAGAAGGTCAAGGGAGATACACATGCTTTCTGGCCAATTACTCTTTGTTGCGGGGGCGGGGTAGCGAGACTGCCAGAAGATGCTCTCCGGCCCTTCTTTTCCTTAACCTTTAAAACCCTGGAATTTGTGTTGAATAAATGGACATTCCTCACCAGCTTGTCCCCGGTGGTTCTTATAGTCAAACAACACCATCGCCTCACCTTGGTGACATGAGGGCCTGCTGGAAGGCTTAAACCGAAAGACACAAATACACACACATGGAAAGTAAGAGTAAGAATCTTCCTTCTATTGTTTCAATCCACAAATGGCTGCAACCACCAACACTGGACCATGCTGGAGTCAGGAGCTTCTACCAGGTTGCCCATGTGAGTAGCAGAGACCCAAATGGTTAGGCCATTTTCCAGTACTTTCCAGGGCTATTAGCAGGAAGATGGCTCAGAAGGCGAAAAGTTGGAACAGGTGGCAGCTTCAGATGCTATGCTGCAATGTCTGCCCCTTAAGCTGCTCCTGGTGATACAAGCATCATAGGAGTGCTGGGCAAATCCTGGGTGCTCCCTGTTCATATGCCTGTGAAGACAGTAGAAGATGGCTCAGGTACCTGGGCTCCTTCCATTCAAGCAAGAAGATTCCAGATGGAGTTCCAGACTCCAGGTTCCTAGGTCAGGTTGTGGTGGTATTTGGAGAGCAAAATCAGGAAATGAAAATATTTCATAATCCCAGAGCCTATGAAACTGTGTCACATAATGCAATGTAATTAATTTTATATATATATGTGAAAATCTTTCATATAAGTAGCACAAATTCTCTAAAGAACAAACAAAACCAGGGTCCGGCTCAAGTCATCGCCTTGAACGCACCAGGATCCCATATAGGTGCTGGTTCTAATCCCGGCAAGGCCACTTCCCATTCAGCTCCCTGTTTGTGACCTGGGAAAACAGTTGAGGATGGCCCAAGGCTTTGGTACCCTGCACCCGTGTGGGAGACCTGGAGGAAGTTCTTGGCTCCTTGTTTCAGATCAGCTCAGCTCTGGCCGTTACAGCCACTTGGGGAGTGAATCAGTAGATAGAAAATCTTCCTTTCTGTCTCTCCTCCTCTCTGTACATCTGACTTTCCAGTAAAATTCAATAAGTCTTAAAAAAAAAAAATCTGGAGCTTCTCTTTCCTGAACGGATGTGAGGAGGACATACCTGGATTCAAAGGGATCCTGCTTCTCCAGGGGTCGGACCCTTTTCTTCATCACGGCCAATTTAGTCAAGTCCACGTACTTTGTCTCCCCGTTGCTGTAAGTAAACTCTAGGACACTATTCCATTCTCCCTGCACTCTGCAGACCACAGTGTTGGTGAGATTGTGCTTTACTTCAGCTGTAACCCTACAAACAGGCAGAACAGAAAGACCATTTTCATGAGGAGGCAGCATGTTTATTTAGCAGGATTCTAAAGATGCAAGAACACGTGGTGTGAACTGAATTAACTCAGTGTCAACCTGTCAGAGTTGGACTCTTTATATATATATATATATCATTATAGCTTCCTAGATATTTTTTTCAAGGGATAACAATTACTAGCTATCAAATTGGAGACCTGATTACCTTAAATTATTATTTTTTTTTAATAAAAGACTTACTTTTAATGGAAAGGCAGATCTACAGAGAAGGGGAGACAGAGACTGATCTTCCACTTGCTGGTTCACCCCACCCTGAAATGGCTTTAATGGCCACAGCTGAGCCAATCAGAAGCTTCCTCAGGATCTCCGTGGGGGCTCATTGCTCCAGATCATCCCCACCACTCTCCACACCACAGGTAGGGAGTAGGATTGTAACTGGAGCAGCTGGAACATGAACTGACACCCACATGGGATGTCAATGACTGCATGTGGAGGACCAGCCAGTTGAGACGTTGCACCAGCCTAATCTTTAAGATGCTTTCCATAGGGTGTGGTGTGACGTCTCAATTGGCTAACCTTCCCCCTGCAAGCACTGGCATCCCATATGGGTACTGGTTCGCGTGCTGGTCCTGGCTGCCCCATTTCCCTTCACATCCTTGCTTATGGCCTGAAGCCTTGGAACCATGCATCCATGTGGGAGACCCAGAAGAAGCTGCTGGCTGCTGGCTTGGAATCAACTCAGTTATGGCCATTGCAGCCACTTGGGGAATGAACCAGCAAAGGGAAATCTTTCACTCTGTCTTTGCTTCTCTCTGTAAATCTGCTTTTCTGATAAAAATAAATGAATCTAAAAAAGCCCCAACCAAACAAAAAACAAAAACACAAATGCTTTCCACAAAGCCAGCATAAAGATTATATTAAAGCATTAAAAATATAAATATTTGCGTGGTTTTAAAAATATTTATTTATTTTATTTGAAAATCAGAATTAGAGAGAGAGGGAGAGACAGAGACAGAAATCTTTCACCTGCTGGTTCACTGCCCAAATGATTGCAATGGCCAGAGCTTGGCTGATCAGAAGCTGAGAGCCAAGATTTTCTTTCAGGTCTCAATAAGTATACAAGGGCCCAAGGACTTGTAGCATCCTCACCTATTTTCCCAGGCCATAAGCAGGGAACTAGATTGCAGGGGATTAACTGGGATTTACCCAGTGCCCATGTGGTATGCTGGTGCTGTAGGCAGAAGATTAGCCTGTTTTATAAGTAGTCTAAAAATGGCACAATATTGGGCCCAGCGCAGCAGCTCAGGGGCTGAAGTCCTAGTCTTGCACAAGCCAAGAGCCCATATGGGCACCAGTTCTAATCCTGGCAGCCTCACTTCCCATCCAGCTCCCTGCTTCTGGCCTAGGAAAGCAGTCGATGACGGCCCAAAGCTTTGTGACCCTGTACCCACATGGGAGACCCAAAAGAAGCTCCTGGCTCTTGGCTTCGGATTGGCTCAACTCCAACCTTTGTAGCCTCTTAGGGAGTGAATCATCAGGCAGAAGATCTTCTCTGTCTCTCCTCCTCTCTGTATATCTGACTTTTCCAATAAAAATAAATAAATCCTTAGAAACGATACAATATTTAGTATAATTAACTTTTTGCCTAAAACTAGTCTTGGAGAAGATATTGTGGTGCAGTGGGTAAAGCTGCTGCTTGTGATGCTGGCATTCCATACAGATGCTAGTTCATGTCCTCACTGTTCCACTTTCACTCCAGCTCCCTGATAATGTATTTGGGGAAAGCAGCAGAAAATGGCCCAATTGTTTGAGCCCCTGTCACTCACAGAGGAGACCAGATGAAGCTCCTGGCTCCTAATTTTGGCTTGACTCAGTTGTGGACATTGTGGCCAGCAATGTCCACATTAGAAATTGTGAACCAGCAATGAATGGTATCTTTTCCTACCCTCTCTAGAACTGTGATCTTAAAAAAAAAAAAAAATTCAGACTTGTATTTTTTTTTCATTTTACTTTATTTATTTATTTGTTTATTTTTGATAGCCTTACTTAGTTACTTCGGGTTGGACTTGTATGTCAAATGAAGTATTTCATGTTCACTGTGGGATACGGGTAATGGTGGTGTCAGACCAGGTAAAGATTCAAAACTGAAGGAATAGCAGTCAAAGTTTACAGTGTAATCAGTGTGTTAGCGATAGGAACTCCTCAGGATTCAATGAGTATTCCAAAAGACCAGAGCCTAACACAGCATTAGGAAATTTCTGTAAGGCATCAGAAAGAACAGCTCAGCAATTCTCCTTTAACAGAAATTCTTTCTTGTTCCACAACTCAAGTTTATGGAGATGAGATGGGACAAGTGTCTGTTTGAGATTGCAAGAAAGGAAAATAAAAAAGTCTCTTGATCAAATTCACAACATTTGAACTGGACAGATTTTATTTCAATAAAAGACACAAAAATACAGATTTCCTAGACACTGTCTCCATAGTTATTTGGGATGCTAGAAAACCACCGGAGAGATCAACGCACCTCTCAATAGCAAGGCTTGCATTGACTCAAACTGAAGACTTTCTCTGCTTTGGTTTTCACTAGTGGTATTTATAAGAACAGCTGCCTGAAGGGTGATGGCACTTCACACAGAACTTTTGAAGAAGGCCCTCAACGCCACACTGAAAGGATACATGCAACAAATTCCTTTGGAATTCGGTGCCAGGAAAAGAGTCTGTCTCTGGAAAAAGTGATTGGGTCCCTTTATCAGATATGGGGAAGCACAGGGAGTGTCATGTTTCTTTTTTTTACTTTAACAGATATGCCAGAACCACACTGCCATTCTCAGGCACAGCAACCATCAATTCTAGTTTCACATCTGCTTTCTCTACTTTGTGGTTACTGTGACAGATTTCATCTGAATTATTCTACATCAGTGTTTTTTTAAAGTCTTATAAATGCTTTTCAAAAACAGTACCCTGGGTTCTGATAAGTGAAAGCTTCTTGAAGGTACAGCCTTATTTCTATGTATCACCAGCATGCAGAAAAATACCACACACACACAAAACCATCCTGTAACCTAGATACACCGCCCACACAGTGTACATAAACATCTGAAAGTGACTGTGGAAACTGGGACAGGAGATGGATCAGTAAATGGAGAGTAGTTCAGTAGGGTCATTTGGCTGGATCACTGATAGTTGTGGAAAACAAGGGAGTAAGGAAAGACAGGTGGAATATAAGTGCAGGCAGCAGATAATGTGTCTGCTCCAATTGCAGGTACAGTAAAAAACCAGGTTATGCCTGAGGAGAAAGGCATAAAAAGAGACCTGAGGTAGGACGGTACTTAAAACAGTTTATGGAAAAACAGAAATAAAGGATAGATTTACTTGTTCTTTTGAAATCTTTGCATAGCATGATATGCATTTTTGCATGAACCTTCATATGCAGACTTTGAAAAATTTTCTACTTCAAAGCAAATTTATTAACTTTATTTTTCTTAAACTTTTTAAAAAGTAATTTTTAAAATTAAAAAAGAAAAGACATTAACAGTAAGGTTTATTCCTCATGTTAATCTTCTAAATAAGAAATCGGATTAAACCATTGGCTTTCAAAGGAGATCAGAATAGAAAAGGTGAGGAACTTTGGCTTCACTTGAAATTATGTTTCCCACCTTTGAGAATGAGTGCGTATGACTATGAGGATACAAAGGAGACAGCAAGATATGTTAGAGAAAAAAAATTAGATACATCCATGTGATAGGAAAACATAATGAGCGTGGTCTTACAGGTAAATAAAGGACAGGGAGGGATAAAAAAAAGCCAATTTAAGTAAGAAATTCAAACAATCCAGCAAATACAGTGACTGAATACATTTTTAAAAGTTTACTATCTGAAATGATAAGGCATTCTAAATATGAAAACTAGACATAAAAGCCAGGAAGGCCTTTGGCACACTTGTTTTTCGATGGTGCCTTAGAAACTCAAATCACAGGGGTAGGCCACGTGTGGGTCTTCTGAAGGACAGCCCTAGCTGAGCCACTGGCCAGCAGCCAAGATCAACTGCCTTCCACAGGGCAAGCTATCTTGGATATACAGGACGGAGCCCTTAGATGGCTGAAGCCCAGCCAACATCTGACTACAACTACACAGAAAACAACAAGTGAGTTTTTGTTTAATATTCACTAATTTATCTATTTGTAAGGCAGATATACACACACACGCACACAGAGTAAGATCCTTCATTTGCTATTTGACTCCCCAAACAGCTGAAATGGCCACAGCTAGGCCATTGAAGCCAGAAACATGGAACTCCTTCTGGATGTTCCATATGGATTGCAGGGTCCAAAATATCTGGGACATTTTATGCTGCTTTTTCAGGCATATTAGCAGGGAACTGGAAAAGAAGTGGAGCATCCAAAACTTGAACTGGCACTCATATAGGATACCAGTGTTTGTGGTGGTGTCTTAACCACCAACCACACCAAAAACATTTTAAAGATGTTTATTCCTGTAGTAGTTAACCAGGATACCAAAAACTGGGCACCAAGAAGAAAACATTTTTGAACAACATTGGAACAAATCAGTATTTATACATTATGGATATGGATAAATATTTTTAGAAAAGAACTGACAGGGCATGCACCGGGATCCCATATGGGCACTACTTCATGATCCGGCAGCCTTGCTTCCCATCCTGCTCCCTGCTTGTGGCCTGGGAAACCACATGAGGATGGCCTACAATTTGTGACCCTTGCACCTGCACAGGAGAGTTAGAAGAAGCGCCTGGCTCGCAGCTTCAAACCAGTCCAGCTCCGGCTATCACGGCCATTTAGGGAGTAAGCCAGAGAATGGAATATTTCTCTCTTTGTTTATTTTGCTTGAAAGTCAGACATACTGAGAGACAATGTCACTGAATCTTTTTTTTTTTTTTTAGATTGTCAATGGTTTGCTGCTTTTTTTTTTTTAAAGAGTTATTTTATTTTTATTGGAAAGGCGGATATACAGAGAGGAGGAGAGACAGAGAGGAAGATCTTCCATCTGATGATTCACTCCCCAAGTGAGCACAACCGCCAATGCTATGCTGATCTGAAGCCAGGAACCTCTTCCGGGTCTCCCACACGGGTGCAGGGTCCCAAAGCTTTGGGTTGTCCTCAACTGCTTTGCCGGGCCACAGGCAGGGAGCTGGATGGGAAGCGGGGCTGCCAGGATTAGAACAGGTGCCCATATGGGATCCAGGGCGTTCAAGGCGAGGACCTTAACCACTGTGCCACTGCACTGGGCCCAATAGTTTGCTTCTTAAATGCCCACAACAGGGCCTGGCATGGTAGCTTAGCAGCTAGATTCCTTGCCTTGCATACACCACGATCCCATATAGGTGTTGGTCCATGTCCTGGCTGCTGCACTTCCCACCCAGCTCCCTGCTTGTGGCCTGGAAAGCAGCAAAGGATGGCCTAAAGTCTTGGGACCCTGCACCCGTGTGGGAAATCGGAGGAGGCTCCTGACTTTAGCTTGGCTCAGTTCTGGCCGTTGCAGCCACTGGGGAGTGAGCCCACAGATGGAAAATCTTTTTCTCTGTTTCTCCTCCTCTCTGTAAATTTGATTTTCCAATAGAAATAAATAAATCTTAAAACAAACAAACAAACAAACAATGCCCACAGCAGCCAGAACTGGGCTAGGCTGAAGCCAGAAATTCAGCACTCGATTCCTGTGTGAGTCGTGAGGATCCAAGTCGTTGAGCTGTCACCTGCTCCCTCCCAAGATGCATATTAAAATGACTCCAAGTGAAGGAACCAAGACCCAAACCAGCCACTCTGGCTGTGGCGTTCCAAGTGGCGCCTTAATCACTGCAATAGGTGACCTGCCTTAGAAGATAAAATGTATTAAACAAACAAAAATATCCACAAATAAAAATCCAATCCCATTTGGGTTAAAAAATAAAGAAAAAAGCAGACAGAATACAGAGTTATAACACAGGATTAGATTGTAAGAATAAGGGCCAGACTGCATTAAAATGTTCTTACCGGTGCAGCTTGCCTCCATAAAATGGCTTCGTGTGAAAAGTGATACTGGCTGAATAGCCAGATTTTACACAGTTGACACTGACTTTGCCGCCCAATTCCACCCAAGGAACGGTTAGAATTGACCGAGCATAAGCACAAGGCAGGGAAAATGTATACTCTTCTCCATGCTCCAACAGACTGAGGACACCTGAACATGGAAACATGAAAAGGGGTTAACATCTTTTTAAAGATACAGTCACAAAAACAAAAATTTTAAAAATCTATTTTTCCTGGGCCCAACGCCGTGGCCTAGAAAGCTAAAGTCCTCGCCTTCAACGCGCCGGGATCCCATATGGACACTAGTTCTAATTCTGACGCCCCACTTCCCATCCAGCTCCCTGCTTGTGGCCTGGGAAAGCAGTCGAGGAAGGCCCAAAGCCTTGGGACCCTGCACCCGCGTGGGAGACCCGGAAGAAGTTCCTGGATTCTGGCTTCGGATCGGCATAGCATTGGCCGTTGCGCTCACTTGGGGAGTGAATCATCAGACGGGAGAAATTCCCCTCTGTCTCTCCTCCTCTCTGTATATCTGACTTTCCAATAAAAAATCTTTAAAGAAAAAAAAAATTACCTACTGTCATTTCTATTCATGCCAGGTAGTTCATAGCTTTCAAAAATCCTTTGTCCGAGCCTACACAGTGGCACAGCAGGCTCATCCTCAACCCTGCTGCACCAGCATCCTGTATCAGTTGTTCCGTTTCTGATCTAGCTCCCTGCTTATGGACTGGGAAAGCAAAGGAGAATGACTCGAATCCCTGGGACCCTGCACTCACATAGAAGACGTGGAAGAGACTCCTAGCTCCTGCCTTCCGATCCACTCAGCTCTGGCTGTTGCAGCCATTTGAGGAGTGAATCAGAGGATGGAAGATCCTTCTCTCTGTCTCTCCTTTCTGTAAATCTGCATGACTCACAGATGATGCTACAATTACCCCATGGCACTTGATGGCCTGGGAAAGCAGTTGAGGACGGCCCAAGGCTTTGGGACCCTGCACCCGCGTGGGAGACCCAGAGGAGGTTCCTGGTTTCCAGCTTCTGATCGGCGCAGTACCAGCCATTGTGGTCACCTGGGGAGTCCATCATCAGATGGAAGATCTTCCTCTCTGTCTCTCCTTTTCTCTGTACATCTGACTTTGTAATAAAAAAATAAATAAATCTTTTTTAAAAAATCTATTTTTCCTAACTAGCACATTAATATCATTATTTTGCTTAGCTTTCAATTAGGATGTGACTGATTTCATTATTAAATACATTCAACATTTTCCTGTAACAGTGAGGTGGGGTTACTTTTCCGGGACTTTGCTACCTTTTCAGGTCATGGGTTCAGCAAATGTTACAGTGAAAAGAGTCCAAGGGCTCCTGATAATGCTTCTAAAACTAAAATGAAGACTTAATCTAAGACAGCATAACAGAAAAGGTGCTTTTCATTCCAGTAGCAGTATACTAAAGAAAAAAATGCACTTCTATCATAGAAACTATAATCATAGTAATAGCTTTGTTGCTAAAGTTATTGAATTATTTAAAGTAAAGCTTCAAGAGTTACAAGTCTAAGTTGTGGTTTCCAATTATCTGAAGGGGTATGTCATGCTACATTAACGATAATTAAAAACATACAAAAAGAGGATTGCAATAATCAGTAATCAATGAGATAATCCAAAGACACTGATCTATACAACTAATCCTTTATTACATGTGCTGAATTAGATGTGTATTACTAGCCTGAACTCTTCTTCAAAAAATATTTTATTTTTATCTGAAAGGCAATTTTAGAGAGAAATAGAGAATGTGGGAGGAAGGTGGAACAAGAGAGAGACAAAAAAGCTTCCATCCGTAGGTTCACTCCCCAGATAGCTGTAAAAGGCAGGGCTGAGCCAATCCAAAGCTGGGAGCTTCTTCATTGCTTTCCTAAGCCATAAGCATCCTCCATTGCTTTCCTAAGCCATAAGCATGGAGCTGAGTCAGAAGTGGGGCAGTCACTAGAATCAGCATCCATAAGGTGCCACAGGCAGAGACTTGGCCTACTATACACCACAGTGCTAGCCCTTTGTCTGAACTCAGGATACTGCTCTATTAAGTACTTTCAAAAAAGTTTTAAAATTCATTTGAAAGGCAGAATTACGGAAAGAGAAGGAGAGAAAGAAGGGGAAGATAAAGGGGATGGAGGAGAGAGCAGGCAAGAGAGAGGGGGAAAGGGAGAGAGGAAGCTAGCTTTTATCCGTTGGCTCAATCCCCAAATGGCTGCAACGAACAGGACTGGTCCAGATTGAAACCAAGGGACAGGAGTTTCATCTGGGCCTCCCATGAGGGTGGCAGTGGCTCAAGCACTGGATCAATTCTTCATTGCTTACCCAGGTACATTAATAGGGAACTAGATCGGAAGTGGAGCAGCTAAGACACAATGCTGGCCTCAAATGTTTTGTTTTGTTTTATTTTTTAAACTAATAACATATGAGAACTTTTTTGATGTTTTCCAAGATGCAATTAACTTGAACTACTATTTGGAAATTACTCAGACAAATCACAATGGAGGGCCCGACGCCATGGCCTAGAAAGCTAAAGTCCTCGCCTTCAACGTGCCTGTATCCCATATGGGCACCAATTCTAATCCTGGTGCCCCACTTCCCTTCCAGCTCCCTGCTTGTGGCCTGGGAAAGCAGTCGAGGAAGGCCCAAAGCCTTGGGACGCTGCACCCGTGTGGGAGACCCGGAAGAAGTTCCTGGATCCTGGCTTCGGATCGGCATAGCATTGGCCGTTGCACTCACTTGGGGAGTGAATCATCGGACAGAAGAAATTCCCCTCTGTCTCTCCTCCTCTCTGTATATCTGACTTTCCAATAAATAAATTTTTTAAAAAAAAATCACAATGGAACTTAAAAATGGAGGATGTAGCAAAGGAGGGTGAATTTTTTTGTTTTCTTCACAGCTACAATAACACAATCTAAACACATTAGAGGAATAAGCTTAATCATAACATAGTTATTATGTTCCAAGTTTATACACAGAGCAGTTTTTTGTATACGAGTTTTTCTTCTGTGAGAGTGGAGAACAGGTGGCCAACAGGCTGTGTTAGGTCCATGAAATCAACTGTCCTGGGCTCTGCCAAGGCAACCACAGGTAAGACATGAAATTCATTAACTCTAAGGCAGGCTATTTTTTATTTTAAAGATTTATTTACTTTTATTGGAAAGGCAGAGTTATAGTGAAGGAGCAACAGAGAGAAATTTTCCATCTGTTGATTCACTCTCAAATAGCTACAATTGCTAGAGCTGAGCCAGTCCAAAGCCAGGAGCCAGGAGTTTCTTCCAGGTCTCCCAAGTGGGTGCAAGGGCTCAAAGCCTTGTGTCAGCCTCCGTTGCCTTTCCAGGACATTAGCAGGGAGCTGGATCAGAAGTGGAGCTTCTGGGACTCAAACTGGCACACATATGAGATGGTAACACTGCAAGCACAGGCTGCATGGTGCTGGAGCACACAGCAGGCTAATTTTAAAGCTGATAATCTTGTATGGCTTATGAATGATGTTATGAATGTTCAAATGGTCCTTTGTAGAAATAAAGATTTCCCATCTCTGCTGTCAAATTAATACAATGAGGCTTTTTTATTCTCTACAGTTTGCTAACTCTTCTATGATGATTTCTGATGTGGAGGTATGTGTTTGCATTTTACATTCTTGGCCCCAAGACACAGCATTTTCTAAAACTATTTTTCACAAAAAAAATAAAAATAAAAATAAAAGAAAAAAAAATAAAACTATTTTTCACAACTTTTGATGATAAAAAGTTGGGCAATGCATTTTAAAAATATTCCATGAGACTGCAAATAAAATGTAAGAATGAAACTTACATCTTTTGATTTAATTATTGCTTTTAGCTCTCATTTTACTCCTGTGAAATAGTCTCTATTTTTTACTTGTTGAATATTATGGTTAGTGGAATATTAAGCCTGTGATATACAATATTGAAGTCGTGTATTGTAAAAATTAACAGGAAAAAAGAGAAAGAAAGAAGAGGGGATTGTAGGAATGGCAGAAGTACGGTTATCTTCTTAGAACTGTATCTATAAGGGGCTGGTGCTACAACACAGCCTGCTAATCCCCTGCCTGAGATGCCAGCATCCCATATGGGCACTGATTCAAGTCCTGGCTATTTCATTTCTGACCCAGCTCCCAGCTTATGACCTGAGAAAGCAGTAGAGGGATGGCCCAGGGCCTTGGGTTCCTGTATCCACATGGAATACCCAGAAGTTCGTAGCTTCTAGCTTGGACAGGCCCACCTCTGGCTGACGCAATTATTTGAGGAGTGAGCCAGGGAATGGAAAATATCTATCTCTTTCTCTGCCACTTTGCCTTTCCAATAAAATACATAAATCTCTAAAAAACTGTATCTATGAAGTCTATTAAGCCTATTCTCTTTATATTAATAACAGTTCTATAAAAAAGGACATTCTACATAATAGCTGATAAAGGAATATGTGACAGGCAGTGGTTATCTACAAGACATTTTCTGATGTAGGATTTTTCTTAGCAACAGATATTTACAATCTTAAAGTTCAAAATAGAGGGAAATGACTAAATAACAGACTGCAAATACATTTCACATACTGTTAAACTGTCAGTAAAATGGCTTTACCAATGACATGGGAAATGAACAGAGCAATAAACAAGAATTAATCCTACTTTTATACAGTATGAATGTATATGCAATGAAGAAACATAAAATTCTAGCTAAAATTACTCATCTCTGCATGAAGGGATTTTATTTTCTCTTTTATACTTTTTTTGGCTTTCTAAATTTTCAGAGATAAAAATATTTTAGACAGCAGGAAAAAAAGCCACACTTTAAATTTGCATCAGTTCATAGACACGCTAGCTGGACTCTCCAGCATGCTGCCTGGAACATTGTAGGTTCCAACACAGCAGTACTGACATGACATGCCACACTTAGAGTTAATATCGATTTAGCTCCCTCAAATTTAAGATTCTGCTTTAGTATTAATTAAAAACTGGAGAACAATTTTTCTACTTACCTTCTCCAACCATGGTCACGCCTATGGACATGCCTAAGAATTTGCTCTTAGTCCAGACATGAGCATTTACACACATCTTCCTCTCTACACATTCTGCATAAAAACCCGAGACTGGTGGGTGATGGGAGACTTGCTCGGCAACAAATCTGACCGTGTAGCAGTCCGAGCCCACCTGGCTCACAGGCTCGTCTGGCGGCAGAGTGTGACTGGGGGCTGCCTGAGCAGAAGCGCCGCTGGAGGTGACCCCACTTCTTGGCATCCTCCAGGAGCAGTGGAACGTCTCTCCGATGATGGGATTGTACGGTTTCTTAGCGATGGCTCCCTTCCGGCCTTCATGAAATGAGGTAAGGTAGTACTCCACAAAGCGAATCATTCTGTCTTCAGCAGTGGCTCCATTGGTGATGGCTATGAACATGTCAGGATGAGACATAAAGTCTGCATACATTTCCAGCAAGGATCGTTTCTCCAGTATAAACGTAGGAAGCACCACCTAAAATAGCAATAACAGAAATCAGTAACAGAGTAAATGTAACCCATATTTTGGACAAGTTTTATTTTTCCCTTAATATGTATTTCAAAGGCAGAGTGATGCACAGAGGTAGATACATACTACTTGTAATCCTAATCTGCACGAGGTTAGCAAACATCAAGGTCACTGTAACACCAAACAATCACTCATATGACTTACTCATCTTAACAATATCACAACAGTCTCCTCTCAATCAATATAAAAATATTTTACAACAGAAATAATACCTATTTCAAATATTGGAGCTAGAAAAAAAGATGGCAGGTTAATGAAATCCTTTGTTAATTTCTAAAATGTCTGCTTCTTAGCAGGCTTTCAATTCAGTCCATTCACTTTAAAATCCTCTAATAAAACAGAACAAAAATAAACATGTTCTTGACTTTTAAATAAAGGGAAAATGCATTCTACTTGTTACATTTTCAAGTGAATGAGAAACAAGTTTCTACTCAATACTTTCACTATCTTCAAATGACCCCGTAAAATTCCATTTGAATCAGACTCTCTATAATCAACTTCAAAGTTGCACATTAATGCAAAATTGTGTCAGTAGTAATTTAAAGCAGATAATCTCACAGAAATTAAATCTGTCTTATATGGGTTATGAAGCTGCTTCCTTTTAAAATTAACATCACGGAAATCAGATGCAAATGGGAGAGTGCTGACATTATGGTGTACCAGCTTAAGTTGTTGTCTGTGATGCCAGCATGCCATATGAGCACTGGTTGTTCCACTTCCATTCCAACTCCCTGTTAATGTTCTTGAGAAAGCAATGGAGGGGATCAGGTATCTGGGCCCCTGAACCCAATCAGAGACCTATAAGAAGCTTGTAGTTGTGACCTGGCCGAACCCTAGCCATTGTGGCCATTTGGGGAGTGAACCAGTGGGTAGAAGATCTCTCTCTCTCTGTTTATTCCTCTCTTCTGAAGAAAAGGGTGTAATCTTAGGAAAGCATGAGAGATATTAACACTTGCACTGTACGCGTCCTTGCTGATAGTGAATGTTTTACACAGCTATGTGGGCAAAGCTCTCTCTTGTAGCTACTTTAGTTTTTTAGTTTTTATTTTATAAAAACGGCACAGGGATCCAATTAGCTAATCTTCCACCTGCAAGCACTGGGCTCTCATATGGGCACCTGTTCATGTCCTAGCTATTTCACTTCACATCCAGCAGTGCAGGCTGGCTCAAATTAATGGGCTTTGCACCCGTGTGGGAGACCCGGAAGCAGCTCTGGGTCCTGGCTTCAGATCAGCTCAACTCCGGCTCTCGCAGCCATTTGGGAAGTGAGCCAAAGGATGGAAGATCTTTCTCTGTCTCTTCTTCTCTCCGTGTAAGTCTGCCTTTTCAATAGAAATAAATAAATGCTAAAAAAAACACAATGATACAACTTAGGATATACAAATCTCACATTGGAGTGTTTAAGTTACATGGTTTAGTCTCAGGTCTTTCTATAAGTCTGCCATTCCAATAAAAATAAATCTTAAAAAAAAAAAATACCACTTAGGGGCCTGGCACAGTAGCTCAGTGGCTAAAGCCCTTGCCTTGCATGTGCTGGGATCCGATATAGGTGCCAGTTCATATGCTGGCTCTCCTGCTTCCCATCCAGCTCCCAGCTTGTGGTTTGGGAAAGCAGTCAAGGATGGCTCAAAGCTTTGGGACCCTGCATCTGGATGGGAGACCTGGAAGAGGTTCCGGGCTTCAGATCGGCTCAGCCGCAGCCATTGTGGCTACTTGGGGAGTGAATCAACGACGGAAGATCTTCCTTTCTATCTCTCTTCCTCTCTGTATATCTGACTTTCCAATACCAATAAAAACAAAAAAAGAAGAAAATAAATCTTTAAAATATAATTAAAAATTTACAAAAATACCACTTAAGATATCCAAATCCCATACTGGAGTGCCTAAGTAACATGGTCTAGTCCCAGGACCTGCTCTTGACTCCAGCTTCTGGCTGACACACACTCTCCTTAAAGTAAGCAGGTGATGGCTCAAGTATCTGGTTCTTACCACCTAAATGGGAGATCTGAATTGATTTCTGTCCTTCAGGCCTTAGTCTGGCTCAACTCTAGCTTTGCAGGCATTTAGGAAGTAAACTTGTGCATGAGAAATCTCTCTTTCCCTTTCAAGTAAATTAAATTTAAAAAAGAATAAATCTCCTGATAGCATTAGTGGTAATGGCTACAGTCCTGATGTACCAATCTTACAGCCAGCTCATCGCATTACTTACTCTTGTTAAGTCCATGCCCAGCTTGAGCTGGGACAAAAGATGTAGAATAACACTTCGTTGTTCTTCCACAGCTCCCAGGTCATCTTCCTTGTTGTCACCTGTATCCTCTATCTCATCATCAGCATTTATCTCCTCAGGTTCCTTGATGCAGAACAAAGCAAAAGTCTAGTGTCATAAGTATGCATTAATGTACAAGAATAAAAGCATTAACATTAGACTTACAGACATTCGTTTCAGGCCTTGATGGATAAGATTGGGGAAAAGTCCTCTGTAAATATGAGGGTCTACAAAAAGTTTATGGAAAATACATATTATAGAAAAACTGCCTAGATCCAAAGCTTTTTTAAGCACCAAAACACACTTCCTTTGCCAAGGAGTAAACAGCCTTCAATGAAGCCATTATGGCTAACACTGAATATATTGCGGTTCTGTTATATAAATCACAAACACAGATACTTTATGAAAATTGGAGTTCTCAGAATGTCTCCCCTGAATGTATGGGTTATCATCAACTGTAAGTCAAGTCCAAGTTGCTGTTGCTTCTTTTAAAGTTTTATTTTATTTTATACGAGAGTGACACAGAAAGGGAGAAACACTCCCCATATGGTTACAATGGCTAGGGTTGGGCTAGGCCAAAGTCAGGAGTCTGGAATTCCATCCAGGTCTCACACATGGGAGTCCAAGCACTTAGACCTTTTCCCAGCCATGTTAGCAGAAAGTTGGATGGGAAGTGAATCAGCCAGGACTCAAACCAAGGCTCTAATTTGGAGTGTTGACAATGCACGGTAGGAACTTAACTTGCTATGCTGTAACAGTGGACCAAGTTCAAGCTGTTTCAGAAAAAAAAATTGGGGGGATAAGGAGGGTGGCGCCGTGGCTCAACAGGCTAGTTTCACCCTGCGGAACCAGCATCACATATGGGCACCAGTTCGTGTCCCAGCTGCTCCACTTCTGATCCAGTTCTCCTCTAATGGCCTGGGAAAGCAGCAGAAGGTCACCCCAAAGCCTTGGGACCCTGCGCCCACATGGGAGACCCGGAAAAAGCTCCTGGTTCCTGGCTTCAGATCAGCTCAGCTCTCGCCACTGTGGTTGTTGTAACCATTTGGAGAGTGAACCAGTGGATGGAAGCTCTTTCTCCCTATCTCTCCCTCCTCTCTCTTTAAATCTGCCTTTTCAATAAAAACAAATATATTTTTAAAATAAAAATAAATCTTCAAATAAAAGTAAGTAAATCTTTACTTGAGTAACTCTTGGTATTATGATAGGTTTTTAAGTTATGAGGACTTTAAGAAGAAAAATTTTTTAAAAGATTTATTTTACTTTTATTTGAAAGGTAGAGGTACAGAGTGAGAAGAAGAGACAAAGAGAGATCTACCATCCTCTGGTTCATTCCCCAAATGGCTGCAAGAGCTGGAGTTGGGTCAGTCTGAATCTGGGAGCTTCTTCTGGGTCCCCTCTGTGGGAACAGAGGCTCACGTCCCTGAGCCATGCTCTGTTGCTTTCCCAGGCACATTAGCAGGATGACCCAAAGCATGTCACCCATATAGGATACAAGTGCTGCACGCAGAGGATTAACCTACTACAGTGCCAGTCACAAGGAAATTATTGTTAATATCTCTTTGTCTTTAATATCCCCATAATCAAATCAAATAAGACTATACAAGAAAAAACAATCTTAACCAGTTTAAAAAAATTAAAAATTCTGTGTTTTTTCCCAAAAATATTAAAAACAAAGTATAAAACAGAGACAGAATTAAAGGATAAAATGTCTCTGATCATTCTCTGCTTAAGGAAATCTCTTATCATCTTACATTCTGTTAAGTCAAAATTCCAACTCAGGGCCAGCAGTGTGGTGTAATGGCTAAAGCCTACACCCGTAATGCTGGCATCCCTTGCAGGTGCTAGTTCATGTCCTGACCTCTCCACTTCTGACCCTGCCCCTGCTAATGGTTCTTTAAATAAATAAATAAATAAACACATGTATCAAAATTATTTTAGAAATGTACAAATAACCATAAACTGTGCAATACTATGGACTCAATGAATCTATCTGAGGGCATAACCTAAGTAAATAATCAATGGGAGGAGAGGAGGAAAAAACAGAATCAATAGGATAATATGTTATACATAATTACAAAAATAATACAGACACTCAACAAAAGTATATTAACACAACAGCCTATTTCAGCTCTTACAATCTTAATTGCATAGGTCAAAACAATCTAGAAAAATGTTTGTAACAGAATCAAGTTAAAGAACTTATGAAACTACATAATTATGACTGTAAAAATGACACACATGAACTGAAAGACCAAAAATTAATACGACATAATCTACAATAGTAGACCTATAAAGAGAATACTTTTTAAGTTATGAGAAACATGGAATAATACTTAATAAAAAATATTAAATGTGAGTGCACATGTTAATTTTTTAATGTAGCAATATTTGAAACTGGTTTTCTAAAGTGCTCATTGTCCAAAAGACCAAAGACTAAACTCTAAGCCTAGAGACTTCATTGTAGCCATCTAGTAAAACACTCTTAAGATAAAAGGGATGAGAATGTAAATAACTACTATGCAAAAATCTTGTGAGGAAAAGTATTTTCCAGAAAAAGAGATTTGCAAATTTCAAATTCTAGAATACATTTTTATGATGGAAAAGTAGATCAGAATTTAAAAGTACATGATTTGATCTGGAAAACACAACATACATGTGTTTAAGAAAAGACTTCTTCCAAAGGGAAAGCAGTTCACAGCAGAACATCATGAGCAGGTGCAAGAGGGCAGCTCTGTGGCTACGCTGGCCTGCATGCCTGAACGGCCCTTTACAGCAACTCCTGATACTTTACAGAGACGACATTTCCACACCCCTTACCCTTGATGGGAGTCCAGGTTCTGCAACAGACTGCTCCTCCGGGACTGCCACTGGCTTACTCTGCTCGGCTGCAAAGGGCTGCTCAGCTCCATTTTTATAGTGGTTTGATAAAGGTATCTTTGGTTCCAACCACTCGATTGTCGTTCCTGAGGTAAGAGAAAATTTTTGCTGAAACTGGCTCATAATCTGGGAAGTTTAGCAGATGTCGGTTTTATTAAAGAATTTCGTTTTGTGTCTAAAAGACTACAAGCAATTTAGTTTAAGAGACTCTGTCAGGCAGTCACTTGTATCTCATTAGCATGAGCACCGTGATTGGGTACTTTAGAACACAGCAACTTGCAACCGGAAATTAGACACTATTTAAAAGAAACCAACCCTGAACAGGAGGACAGAATTCACTTCTTGAGCAAAGATGTGAGTCATAACATGTATTTCCAATCTCACAGCTGATTTTCTGTCCTCTCTATATGAATTCTGTTGCTCAATGATCAAAAAGTACACAATTAGGTTGTAAGGGGTCACAGCTATAAGAGGTGGCCAAGGCTAACAGTCAGAAAAACTTGCTTCAGGTTGGGACTGAACCATATTCCCAGCAGCAATTTCTAGTCTATCAAAAATAATCCGTTGGATCCAATTAAGAATTGCAAATCACAAAAAGCTCCATCTAACTTTTAAACTGCAATACTCTTCTACTGAATAAATAATAGCTGACCTAGTAAAAGGCAGTGGCCACATTTAAAGAGCTGTCATCTTCCCAGTTAATGACTCAAACATCTCTTGTTACCCTCAACTAGTTTAACAAAGTGGATTCTATGCCTAATCAATAATAGAAAATGTTCCATTTGATTTCAGGGGCTGATCTAGGTTTCACAGAAGCTAAACTATACAGAGCTGTAATACAGCATGTTCAGACCATGGCAGCAGCAATTTCAAAACAAAACCACTGACTTCGGTAGTTGTTATATAATAAGAGACCAGACTTCAGTAGAGGAATACATTATAAAGTATACACAAGGCTTCTAGAACAGCCTGACTTGTTCAGTCTCACTTGGCAGTGGGGGTGGAAATCTGCCATGTACGAAATACCTTGGATAAGTTTTGGTGATCGTTTTAAAATTCTAAGGATATTAAAACTTTTTGTTCTCACTTTAAATTATTGATTTTTAACATCAATACCCAAATACCTTACTTCTAAATATAAAACACAAATAAATCCTAAGCTTAAAAGATCTGTTTCAAGAGAGCAATCAACTGACTGGAAATTGAACAAAAGTAAGTGTGTTTTAAGTTTTTATTTACTTGAATGAGCAACTGAGAAAGACAGGCGCAGATCTTCCATATGCTGCTTTACTCCTTGAATGCACACAAAAGCTTAGGCCAGGCAGGAGCCAAGAGCCAGCAACTCCTTTTGAATCTCCCAGAAGCATGGCAGCAACAGAGAACTTGCTGCCTCTCCTAGTGCTCATTAGCAGAGAGCCGGATCAGAAATTCCCAGGTATCCTGACCTGGGATTTGACTTCCCAAGTGGCACCTTATTCTGCTACACAATACCTGCCTCACAATAACCTCTTTAAACTAATTATCTGCTTTCAAGTTCCCTCTAAGTCAATAACCCCTACTGAGTCTTTAGATAACACTTTGGGGGGGGGGGGCTGGTGCAGTGGCCTAATGATTAAAGTCCTCACCTTGAACACACTGGGATCCCATATGGGCGCCAGTTCTAATCCCAGCAGCTCCACTTCCCATCCAGCTCCCTGCTTGTGGCCTGGGAAAGCAGTTGAGGACGGCCCAAAGCCTTGGGACCCTGCACCTGCGTGGGAAACCTGGAGGAAGTTCCTGGCTTCTGGCTTCAGATCAGCGCAGCACCAGCTGTTGTGGTCACTTGGGGAATGAATCATCTGATGGAGGATCGTTCTCTCTGTCTCTCCTCCTCTCTGTATATCTGATTTTGCAATAAAAATAAATAAAATCTTTAAAAAAAGATTTTATGAGACTAATTTGAATTAAGACTTCATTTTCTTCTTAAAATTTAAATGGAAAAGTAATTAAGTTTTTCTCTTTGTAGCTAGATTTTCATTTTCAAATTATCTAATAATATATTTTAAACATCCAATTTGGAAAAATATACAACCTATACTGAGAGATACCAATGCTAGTTAACACTGCCAAATAACTACAAATCCGTGTTTCGAAAAAGTGACATGGTAAACAACTTTAATATTAAACATTTCTGTCAAGTTTACACTGTGCTTTACTTTCATAATTAAAAAAATAAAATTTGCATTATACATGTTTCTGTAATTATGAGGTAAACACTTAAGAACAAGATCATGGAGAGGAGCCTGGCACCTGTTGGTTTGGAACCCTGAGTTCATATCTCGGCTCCACTGCAGATTCTTTTTTTTAAAGATTTATTTTTATTATTTTTTCATTGGAAAGGCGGATATACAGAGAGAGGAGAGAGAGAGAGAGGAATATCTTCCGTCCGATGATTCACTCCCCAAGTGAGCGCAACGGGCCGATACTATGCCGATCCGAAGCCAGAGCCTCTTCCGGTCTCCCGCACGTTGCAGGTTCCCAAAGCTTTGGGCCGTCCTCCACTGCTTTCCCAACAAGCAGGGAGCTGGAAGGGAAGCGGGGCTGCCGGGATTAGAACCGGCGCCCATATGGGATCCCGGGGTTGCAAGGCGAGGACTTAACCACTTGCGCCACCGCGCCGGGCCCTCCACTGCAGATTCTAACTTTGTGCTGATGTCCACTTTGGGAGGCAGCACGTGATGGCCCATGTCACTGGGTCTCGGCCATTCCAGTGTGAGACCCCCACTGAGTTCCAGGCTCCTAGATTCAGTCAGGTCCAGCCATAGCTGTTGTAGGCACTTGGGGAGAAACCAGAAAATCAGAAATCTCTCTATGTTTCTTCCTTATCCTTTGCTCTCTTTCTCCTTGCCTTTCAAATAAATGTATCTACCACATTGTTATTTGGCGTACTTTAAAAAGAAATAAGCAATGTAACATATAAATAAAGCTTTAGAATCAACCCAAATTTTGTAACTCAGAACAATTCATCCATCACTTCTTGGTCTTTCGGCTAAGATTAAGTATAGAACAATTCATCCAATGTTCAGTCTCAGGAAAAAGTAAAATACATCTGGTTCCCTCAAAGGAACATAATGCAGCCAACAAAAAGTATGTTTGCCAAAAGCAAGTCATAAATTAGAAGGTACTGTTTTAAGAGTTAGAAGGAGAGAGGGAGAGTCAGAGAAAGATCTTCCATCACTGGCTCATTCCCAAAATGGTTGGAGCTTGGCTGGTTTGAAGCTGGGAGTTGGCTCCCAAGTGGGTACAGGAACTCAAGGCTTTAGGCCACCCTCAACTGATTTCCCAGGCCATCAGCAGGCCATCAGAGGTGGAGCAGCCAGCATTTGAATCGATGCCCATATGGGATCCATCATTGCAGGCAGAGAGTTAGCTTGCACCATGTCAGTCTTAATGACTGGTCTATTTAACGATGTCCCTAACTGTCCCTCTGGTTGCCAATGGCTTGAAATCTTGAATTTAGGCACACATGAGGATAGGATTCATATTATATCCACTTGACTACAGAAAAAATTTCTTGCTCAGAGATTCACTGTCTTTCAAAAATATCTTCCTTTCACAAAATAAAAGGAATTAATTGGAAACGATAACAAAAAGAATAGTTGTGAAACACTAAGTTACCATTATGAATACAATGTGTTAATCTTATGCATCTCACCCATGGAAAGACTAATCTTTAAAAAATTATTTTTTTAATCTTTATTTGAAATGTAGAATTGCAGAGACAGACCTTCCATCCATCCACTGGTTCATTCCCAAAATAACCAGAACTGTTAGCCAGATCAGAGCTGATTCAACGTCAGAAGCCAGAAGCTTCCTCTGGGACTCCCACATGGATAAAGGGGCACAAAGACTTAGACTATCCTCCATTGCTTTCCAGGCCATAGGCAGAGAGCTGGATCAGAAGTGGAGCAGCTGGGACACAAACTGGCACTTATATGGACACCGGAGCCACAAGCAGTTTTAACCTGTCACTCCTCAACAATGGCCTCAGAAGGATTCACTTTTGTATTCTAACACGATAACATTCTTTTTCCCCAGAACAATTTCATTTCAATAATAGGTGCTTTCAAATACCAGATAAATACATTTTTTTTTTTATCACAATGTTTCTACTCTAGTTATGGATAAATCATACCAACAATTTCAACAGGAATACATGAGATGGGGTTTTAAGATCAATTTTGACATGTGGAATTTGAAGTCTAAAGGAATATTCAAAATCATTTTAGATTCAAAGAACATAACTAGCAAGAATTTGTCCAATATGTGTGATAATTAGAAACCAGAAGACTCCCTGTTTTTCTTAACTTTTTTGCAGCTGGAATTGACAAGTCTAGGCCTTCCTATGTTTGAGTCCTCAACATCACGCCCTACCTTTTAACTTACCTGAAGGTAACGAGCCCTTCTGATGGGATGCATGCTGCAACTGGAGAATATGAAAGCAGTCATTTAAGCAGTTCATAGTTGCCATGGAAGTAGCTTTGAGCATTAAGAGATCCTGGTCCAAGGAACTAAGATGGCCAGAAGTAGGAAGGCATTCAATTCGTCTAATTAAGTCTCTTTGTTGTCCTTCAGCATGAGACATCATCTAAGGAAAACAACAGTTGCGTGGGTCCCACTCATAACTTACATATACATGTACACATTTCATTGCCAATTAACATAACATTCAACTTCTGGGCTAATTAAAAATGAATATTTTAAAGTTTTTTGAGAAACAGTGAGAGGAAGGCAGACAAATGGGCAGAGCATACTTCTATCTGCTGGTTCACTTCCCAAATGCCCACATTGGCCAGGTAGAAAACAGGAACCAGGAACTATCAGGTCTCCCACACTGTGGTAGGAACCTAACCATGTAAGCTACCACCTGCTACTTCCAAGAGTGCACATTAGCAATGAGCTGAAATAAGGAGTGGAGTAAGGACTTGAACTTGGGCATTTTGATGTGGAATGCAGGCGTTCCAACCACGGTCTTAAGTGTTAAGCCAAATGCTCACCCTTTCAAGACAAATTTTATGACTTAACGGGTTCAGAAATGTAGTTTAAGTTTGCCTAGCTACTTTTTATTTAGCTAAATAAATTATAATAATGACCATTAGGCTACTTATTATTTTGAACTAGTGAGCATTTAACATTTTATTTTTTGTTGGGCATAAAGACTGTGACTTAGGCAGCTATACGTTTTCTAGAATCAAAAGGGGTCAAAAGATTTGCTTTTTTTATTAGTAGTATAAATTTATACATGTCGACAGAAAACACATTCCAGAATGCCTTTAATAGCAGCACTGGGGCTGGCGCCGTGGGGCGGCAAGTTAACATACCATCTGTGATAGCATTCCATAAATGGTCCACTGTCAATCAAGCTGTCTGGTAATGCACCTGGGAAAGCAGAAGATGGCTCAAGTACATGAATCCCTATCTTTAGCTTGGCCTAGCACGAGCCACTGCAGCCATGTGGGGAGCGAACCAAGGGATGGAAGATTCATTCTCTCTCTCTGTAACTCTGCCTTTAGATAGCTTAGAAAAAGAATCGTAAAAAGAATAGCATCAAAAATTCCATTCTGAAGTAAAAGTGATTTTCGGGCTCTCAATCACTTTCCTCTCATATCTTCCTTCACAAACTTAAGTTGAGAGCATGGTGTTAAATATTTATCTGTTACTTTTTCCCTAATCTTATCTTATAATTCCATTCAATTAAGTTTAAAGTAAAAACTAGATCTAGAAATTTCAGGCTAAAATGGAATGGAATGACAGTGACTGGTGAATAATCAAATTTTTAAACTGAAAACTGAATTTATGATGCTTCACTATTTTCAGTTGTGAGTAGAAGTCTCTGATGACTTATCCTTTGAAAACTAATTCATGTAGAAATTCTATATTGCAGAAACTCTTCTAGCTTTCAGAGGCTCTGTTACTGATGATTTTTTAATACAGTTAATCAGAGGACTGATTAGTAAAAGGCGTAAAATAATCCCATCAAGCAGATTAAGTGTGCTGTGCATGAAACAGCCCCAGGAAACAGTCAGGGATCCAAACATTTCCCAGGGAAAAAAATTGAAAAGTCTGAAAATGAGAAATGTGGCTCTAAAGGTTATCTATAGCGAAATGTAGTTACAAGGGTATCTATACGTACCTATATACATGTGCTTAGTGTGTATGTAATGTTTCTGCATGCAAATTTGAGGACTAACTCCCAATAATCTAAACTTAATGAACAGGTACTTTCATTCATACTTTGGAATACAGTTTGGGCAATGTCTATAATCTAAGACACAACCATTGAATTTGGGCATGTAACCAACAGCTATGCATGTCTCCATAAACGCTAAAATGGATAAAAACTATTACAGTGTATTCATACAGTGACTATTATACAACAATGAAAAGAAAGGAACAGTTAGACTCAATATCAAAAGTAAATCTTAGATATATAATTTGGACTAAAAAGAAGCCATATCCAAAGGAATACATACTATGATTCCAATTTTAGAAATTGCAAAAATACATAAACCTAAGCATTCTCAAAACCAGAATGATAAGGAGGGATACAGTCCTGGAAAAGAATCAAAGGTCTTTCTAAGGTGCTGGTACTATGATATATCTTGATCCAGGAACTAATATCATCAATGTTTTTAATCCAAATTAATATATATAGAAAGAACAGATCACATGTTTGACACAGGAGTGAAAGTGTTGCCTGGGATGCCTACATCCCATCTCAAGAGTACTTGGTTTAAGTCCTAGCTACTCCACTTCTGACTCAGATTTCTGCTAATGCATACTTTGGGAGACATTCAATGATGGCTCAGGTACTTGGGTCCCTGCACCCATGCAAGAGGCTCATGTCAGATTGAGTTCCAGTCTCCTTGACTGGTATAGATATTTAGTAAGTGAACTAGCAGACAAAAGATGTGTTTTTCTTTCTGTGGCTTTCAAATAAAAGGAAGCAAACAATAACAACAACAACAAAAACCCACATGATAATGTAATGGACTAAGCCTCAGCATGCAATGCCAGCATCCCATTTGGTGCCAGTCCTGGCTGCTCCACTTTAATCCAGCTCCCTTCCAATGGTCCGGGAAAGCAGCGGAAGATGGCCCAAGTCCTAGGCCCCTGCACCTAAGTAGCAGACCTGGAAGAAGTTCCTGGCTCCCAGTTTTAGACCAGCCCAACTCTTACTGTAGCAGCCCTTTGGGGAATGAATGAACATATGGATGTTCTCTCACTGTACTCTGACTTTCAAGTAATATAAACTATTAAAAACAAAGAAAAGTTATACATAGATTAACTATCCAAACAAGGTACACAAAAGAAGGGATCTTCATGCAGCAGAATATAAAAATTCACTGAAAACAGATTCTCTAATTATCTGTTAAGAAACTGTCAGCTGTCTGGAGCTTGCATTGTGGTGCAGTGAAATGGACCATCACCTGACACACCAGCATCCCACATGGGCATCTGTTTATGCTCTGCCTATCCCACTTCAATCCAACACCCTGCTAAATAATGTCCTACTTCCAATCCAGTTCCCTGGTAATGGCCTGAGAAAAGTAATGGAAGATGGTCCAAATTCTTGAGCTCCTATCACCCTCCTCAGAGACCCAGAAAATGTTCCTGGCTTCCACATGGCTCTGTCCTGGCTGTTGTGGCTGCTTAGGGAGTGAACAAGCAGATGACAGGTCTCCCCCACTCCCTCTCTCTTTCTCCACGTCTGACTTTCAAATTGAACTATAAATCTTCCTTACAAAAAAGGCTTATTTTTTTAGTCACATATCTGTGAGAAGGCAAGTTTTCATCACTTACTTCAATCAAAACAACAAATTGCAACTGACTGCGTGCAGAACCAAATGTGATATTCCTGCTGTATCCTAATAAGCTGGACATTTGAAGACATTGCAAAAATGTAAAACAAAATCATTCCACTCTTTCCAATAATTATTTTGTTCCAGAGAAAGGTCATTGCTTGACATAAATCACAATATATTCTCATGTAATGGGCTTGCTACTTTTCATTTTAGAATAAAACAACCATGTCTTTAAATTTCTCAGTTTTGATTTCCAGTAAGGCAAACATCAATAAAATTAACTCATAAAACAAAATTTCTTTGAATAACTCAATAATTTTAAGAATGAAAGGGATCCTGAGACCAGAGTTTGAAAACCAAAGCAGGGCCCGGCAGCATGGCCTAGCGGCTAAAGTTCCTGGATCCTGGCTTCGGATAGGCATAGCATTGGCCGTTGCGCTCACTTGGGGAGTGAATAATTGGACGGAAGATCTTCCTCTCTGTCTCTCCTCCTCTCTATATATCTGCCTTTCCAATAAACAAATAAATCTTTAAAAAAAAAAAAATCTAAAAAAAAAAAAAGAAAAGAAAACACAAAAACCATAGGGTAGTTTGGTATTACAAATTCTTGGAAGAGAACCAGGTTTTACATAGCCTAAAAGTATCTCTCCAAAGTACTTACTACTTATCATGAGAAAAACAATATCCTTACGGTGGAAAAAAATTAATAGAAGTCATTTTAACCAAGTAATCAAGGGCAACATTACTAGTAATAAGACATAGGGACATCATGACCTTGAAGTGCTATTCCAAGGACACACATCTTTTCCATGACACGCTTTGTCACAACATAAATCCTCATTTAGCTCATGAAAAAGCATCAGATAAACTCAAATTCAGTAATATATAAACAGTAGGTGATTTTTGAAAAGGTCAATAATCTTCCTATGTGTCAAGGTCATGAAATACAAGGATGGACTAAGGAATAATCACTGCCTCGAGGAGACTAAGAAATAACGAGTAGGGGCAGGCATTTAGCCTGGCAGCTAAGATCCGCTCAGGATGCGTCCATCCCTTACCAGAATGCCATGATGGGATTCCCAGCCCTGCTTCTGGGAGGCTGCACCCACAAGGCAGACCCTGCCACCCACAAGGGAGACCTGGATAGAGTTTCCAGCTTTCAGCTTGGTCCTAAGTCTGGCTCTAGCCATTGTGAATACCTGAGGAATGAACCAGCAGATGGGAGCACTCCCTCTATGCCTCGCAAATTAATTACTTACTTAATTAAACATAAATAACAAATGAAAGAAAGTAAAAAGTCAGTCATTTATTTTGTTATTCAGTCTTTCCATTACTCTTTTATTAGATCTTTGATTAAATCACATCAAAGGCAAATGTATTTTTACTTAAGACCTGAAAGACATTGACAAATGAAGTGTGTCTGGTACATAGTTGACACACATGAGAAAACTAAATATTACACATTAAATCAGGGTATCTTTTTTACTTAAAAAAATACCAGACAAGAAATAATGAAGACACAAGCAATATTTTAAAACAGAAATGATCTTGTTCATGTTAATATTGCTTCAATTCACACTTACCTCTCTGACTTCCACAAGATGGTCTGGAGGTGAGTGTGTTCTCTTGCTTACCGACTGCAGTTTGGAATGTCCAACATTAAAGAAAGAAATGGCATTTTGACTTGGTCTCCTCTGCGATATAGGAGAATTACCACTAGATGCAAGCGAGAAACTCCGTGACTTCAGAGGAGGATTATTCTGTTAGGCAAAGAAAATAATCATTTTAAATGCAGATATTTGAGACACAGTTTTAACAATTAAACTGATGTGGGTATGCTGTGGCATAGTGAGTTAAGCCACTGCAGGAGACACCTATGGCCTATATCAAGGGCCAGGAAGAACATTATCCATTCTGCTTCTGATCTCACTCCTACTAATTATGCCTGGGAAAGAGGGTGACGGTTCAAGGAATGAATTCCTGCCATCCACACTGGAGAGCAAGAGTCCCTGATCTCTGCCTTCAAACTGGTTAGTCTCTAGTGAACGAAATCAAAGACACAGTAGGAATCGACCTTAAATTCAGCAAGATGGCAACAGCAAAATTTTTTTTTAAAGGGCAAGTATTGAGATTTTTAGAGAAATTGCCACCTTCATACATTGCGGTGAAAATGTAAAATGCCAATTCTGCTTTCGAAAATATTTTAAAACTTCCTCAAAAAATTTAAATGCAGAACATATCTCGATAATTACACTCCCAGATAAACACAAACTTGGATACAAATGTTCAGAGTATTATTCATACTATTTATAAAATACAAACAACCCAAATTTCCATCAGCCGGTGAACGAACCACAAAATGTGGTACATCCATTCACAGAGTACTACTCAGCCTTCAGAGGTTTGCTGGGCAGGCCTGGCGGCACAATGGGTTAAGCTGCCATCTATGACCCAGGCATCCTGTACCACAGCACTGATTTGAATCCAGGCTGTGCCCCTTCTCACCCAGCTTCCTGCCAAGGTAAGTGGGAAGGCAATGGACGATGGCCCAAGTACGCCCCTACCATCCACATGGGAGAGTGGGGTGGTGTTCGTGCCTCCTGGCTCCAGCCTGGCCCAGCAGAAGTTACTGTGGCCATTGAAGAATGAATCAACAGATGGAACCTCTCTTCCTTTGTCTCTCCTGCTCTGGCACTCTCACACAAATCTTGAAAACCAATGAATATTTACTGGCACATTTGATATCATGGATGAATCTTAGAAATATTAGGTGAGCAAAGTCAGACACAACAAACCACACTTTATATGATTCCATTTGGATGAAACGCCCAGAATAAGATGCATGAAAACAGAAAAGAAATTAGTGTTTGCTGCTAAGAACAGATCAGAGAGCTACTGTAGAAGGATATGAGTTTACGGAGGCAGTAATTAAAATTTTGTTGAATTAAATAGTGGCAATGGCTGTATAACCTTGTGAATATATCAATAATTTTTTTTTTAAATCTGCTGGGTTATATATCTTCAAAGGGCAAATTTCATGGTATGTGAATTACATCTGAACTTTAAAATGCACTTCAATAACATTTTCTCCGCATGCTATGGTTTGGAAACTGTTTACATCATCAGCCCCTCAAAAATTCATGCATTCAAAGTTTAGTCCTCAGTGTGGCATTGCTGAGGCACAAGAACTTTTATCAGGCAGAATCTAAAAGAAAGTAACTGGGTCGTAAGTGGGATGCTGCCTTCAGAAGCAACTATTAGAGTTCTCAGGGGCTCTGGTTAGTTCTCACAGGAATGAGTTGTTATAGAAAGAGCAAATCTTGCCCCTCTAGCCTCTGGCTTCTTGTGTCACCATATGATCTCCTTCATATGAAGCCTTCCCTAGAAGCCAAGTAAATGAGTTCCCCTTCTTGGATTTCCAATCTTCTAAACCATGAACTGCATGAACACTTCTTTAAAAATTACTCAGGCTCAGTTATTTTGCTATGGCAGTAGGAAACTGACTAAACCCACGTTTGCACATGAATATCATTTCTAAATTCTGCATTACCTTCCCAATAGCTTCAGTGTGGTGCTGTGTACATATCTGAAGTCGGCTAACCCAATGCTGTCGCTCTTTAGCATCCGTGGCTGGTAAAAAGAATGTAAACGTTATTTACTGTTGGTTTCTCTCCTGAATATGATTGCTTAAAGTATGAAGAATAAACCACTGAAAAGCAGAGACTGGGGCTGCTCCCTCTGCAGCCAATGTCCCTGACTTGAGAGACACAGGCCAAAGCCAAAGCATCAACCTTCTTAGCAAGCAGAGTAGACGGCTGTGCCTATTCCAAAAGGAAGACAAATGACAAATAGATACACAAGGACATGAGACTGACATGTCCTAAAACTCTCATAATAATATGCTCTCATTTGAAGAAAAAAGGTGTGGGCATTGTTGCACAGTGGGTTAAACCACCAGTTGGATTCCCCACTTACCCTTTAAGAGTACCAGTTTTAGTCCTGGCTGCTCTGCTTTCTAACAATCTTCCTGGCATAGCATCCTGGGAGACTCAAGTATTATGGGTCCCTGCCATCCTTGGGAAAGACCCAGATGGAACCTGGGGTTCTAGACTTGTGCCTGGCCTAATTTTCTTTTTAAATAATGAAGTGGGGCCTGGTGCAGTAGCCTAGTGGCTAAAGTCCCACCATGCATGTGCTGGGATCCCATATGATTATTGGTTCGTGTTTCAACTGTTTCACTTTCCCACCATCTCCCTTCCTGTGACCTGGGAAAGCAGTCAAGCATGGCTCAAAACCCTGGGACCCTGCACCTGCATTAAAGACCCAGAAGAAGCTCCTGGCTCCTGGCCTTGGATTGGCTCAGCTCTGGCCATTGTGGCCATTTGGGGAGTGAACCAGTAGACAGAAGATCTTCCTCTCTGTATCTTCTTTTCTCTGTAAATCTGTCTTTCCAATAAAATAAATACTAAAAATAAGTAAATCAATAAATACCTACTAAAGATCTGCTGTAAAATCACATGTTCAGATCTGTTGCAGTAAGTTTAGCACGAATCACATTATATTTTATATGTATTCATTAAAATCACAAACTTCTGTATACATTAAATCCACAGAATACGACATTTCAACAAATTCCAACAATGGATATTAGCCACTGGAAACTACAAAGAAGGCAGACACATCAAACCAACTGAAGAGGCAAAATACATGTTTTATATTTCAGTCATCAGGTTTTCCTTACACAAATCAAATTTTCAGAGTTCAATCCTAAACAAAGTTGCTCATTGACTCTTGAGAAAGTCAATTATTGAAACAAATTTTATAAATTCTCAGAGCAGTTTCAAGATTTAGAGTACTGTGTTTATACCCCTAATGACAGCAATTTCTGTTTCCAAAGGAGGAAAATCAGAGCATTGGTTCAAGAATCCCCGCCGTACCTCTGAGTTTGTACTGCTCCCCACTGGCAGCGTTCACGGTGAAGGTGTGCGAGTCCTCATCGCTGGGTGATATTACGGCTCCTGCAAGCTGCAAGGTGCCTCTGGGCTTTTGATTTCTAGACTGTTCAGTCACAAAGTACTCCAACAGTCCAGCTTCATTGTTCAAAACAAAAAACCTGTAAGGATTAAAAAAGTAAAAACTTTCAACTGTTATCCTAGCTAAATGGAAACAAAGCAAACATCAAGCACTTATATACTTCTACTTTTGATACTTTAAAAAATTTGTTTCAAGAACTTTCCTTCCTTTTCTCTCTAACTCTGCCTTCCAGAAAAATAAATATTTTTAAAAACCAGTGGGGAAGAGGAGTTAAGGGATGGTTGGTGCTGTGGTGTATCAAGTAAAGCCACTGCCTGTGGCGCTGGCACCTGATATTGTTACTGGATCACAACCTGGCAATCCTACTTCCAAACCAGTCACCTGCTCATACACCTGGAAAAGCAGCAAAGGATGGGTCAAGTACTTGGGCCCATGTACTCATAATAAGAGAAACTTGGAAGAAGATTCTGGCTCCTGTCTTTGGACTGGCTCAGTTTTGGCTGTTGTGGCCATTTAGGCAATGAACCAGCAGATGGAAGATATCGCCCTTTCTCTCTCCCTCTCTCTGTGTAACTCTGCCTTTCAAATAAGTAAAAATAAATCTTTAAAAACAAATTCCAAACCATTTGAGGAAGTTCAGTAGTCCTGCCTTATCTAAGGTTTTGCTTTCACAGCCACAGTTCAAAAATATCAATACGATGGCATAGCACGCTAATATTCCAGTTGGCCAGTTGGAGTTCCAGCTACTCCAGCTCCTTGCTTATAGTCTTGGAAAGCAGACTAGGATGACTCAAGACCCTAGTCCCCTGCAGCCACACGGCAGCGGACCAGGAGAAGCTCAAGACCTGGAGAAGCTCCTGGCTCCTGACTTCAGATCAGTTCAGTTCTGGCCACTGTGGCCATTGGGGTGTGAACCAACAAATAAAAAACTCTGTCTAGCTCTGTCTTTCCTCTCTGTAAATCTGCCTTTCAAATAAAAATGAAATCTTAAAAAAAAAAAAAAAAGAAGGCCCGGTGGCGTGGCCTAGCAACTAAAGTCCTCGCCTTGAACGCCCCGGGATCCCATATGGGCACCAGTTCTAATCCTGGCAGCTCCACTTCCCATCCAGCTCCCTGCTTGTGGCCTGGGAAAGCAGTCAAGGACGGCCCAAAACCTTGGGACCCTGCACCCATGTGGGATACCCGGAAGAAGTTCCTGGATCCTGGCTTTGGATCGGCATAGCATCGGCCATTGCACTCACTTGGGGAGTGAATCATTGGACGGAAGATCTTCCTCTCTGTCTCTCCTCCTCTCTGTATATCTGCCTTTCCAATAAACAAATAAATCTTAAAAAAAAAGAGCTACAAATGGAGATGCATAATCATGAGGAAATTGAGAATAAACAATTAAATATTTATATACTTTGGGAAAAGAGTCTGATACTTTAATTCCGTTCTAGATTAATTAACTACTTTTAGAATTATGCTAATTCAGAGACAACTTTAGGTTGTATAATGTTTTGTTGTTTTAAAAATAACTTTAAAAAATTTTTAAAATCCACACTTGATCTTATAGCATTTTGTCTTTCTACATATTAGCCTGTTCTGCAACACAATCTGATCCACTGCCAATTGCTGGAAGACAATCGTCACCTCAAACAACATGGCAACCACACCTCACTCAATCAGGGAGAGAAGGAGATCACCTGAGCAGAGGTAGGAAACCAAAACTTCTTCTACATCTTTTTGTATGCCACTAATTTTGAAAATTTTATGCACATCCTTTTATGAAAAGTATAAATTAATTTTAATATTTTCCAGTTTTAAAACTTACATTTAATTCATCATTAGAGCTTACTGTTTGTATGTGTTTATTAACTATGTAACTCTAGTTAACTACCAGTCCCATTTTTTCCACTTCTAATAGTATTTACCTTTATTCCTCCAAAGCTTTTGAAGAAACTTTTTAAAGTATTTGATGATTTATTTACTTGTTGATGTGTTATGTTAGAGACAAAGAGACAGAAAGACTTTCCATTCACTGGTTGACTCCCCAGATGTTCCCCAGTGGCACTGGGTCCAAGACAAAGCCAGGAGCCTAAGCCTTAGTCCCAGGCTCCCACAGGGGTGGCAGAGACTCAATTTCTTATGTAATCACCTGCTTCCTCCCAGGATGAATGGCATCAGGAAGCTGAAATCAACAATGGAGGTAGATTTTCAGTCAGGCCTTCCACTGTAGGATGCTGATGTCCTAAATGGCATCTTAACTGCTTGCCCAAACGTTAGTATTCAGTCATTCACTCATTTGAAAGGCTGAGAAACAGACTGACAGAGTTATCACCTGTCTGTCTATTTCTCAAATACAAGTAACAGCCAGCGTTGGACCAGAGCTGAAGCTGGGAGCTGGGAATGAAGTCCACATCTCCCACTCAACTATCAGAAACCCAATTAGTTGGGTCATCACCACTACTCCCTGTGAGCCACATGAGCAGGATTCTGGAATCCAGAGCTGGGAATCAAACCCAAGCACTCAGATATGGGATGCAGCATACTAACCAGAGACCACTTCTGTAGCAATGCTTTGAGTTAGCAAAATATAGCCCTTGACAAATGTCTAATACATACAACCTGTTCTCAGTAAAATGCACAAGTGTATATTCCACCAAAAGAGCCATTAAAAAAAAGTTCAAAGTTACACATATGACCCAAATTGTCTTCAATTAAAAAAAAAAAAGTCATATGGGGGGGCCAGAGTTTTGATACAGCCAATTAAGGAGCCACCTTCAACACCAGCATCCCATATAAATATCAGTTTGAGTTTCAGCTGCTCCACTTCTGATCCAGCCCCTTGTTACAAGCTTGGGAAAGCATGAGAAGATGTCCTAAGTCCTTGGGCTCCTGATACTAACATGGGAGACCCAGAAGGCTTACACCTGGCCCAGCCCCAGCTGTTTCAGCCATTTGGGAGTGAATCTATATTTTCTTTTTCTCTTTCGGGTTCTGCCATTCAAATAAATATGTAAATTTTTTAAAAATAAAAATCAAATCAGATAATCACAATTTTCATCTTTAACTGCCTAAAAATCATTATTTCATACATCATGTCATAGTTTTTACTTGTCTGAGGTAGGAAGCCAAATCCAGCTCTTGTTATTTCATCCTAATCAATAGCAGCAGTCACCAAATGATACACAAATTTAAAATAAGCACAATATGGCACATAAACTTTGTAAATACAACTGTGTCTGTAAAAGACTCTGGAGTCAAAATTAACTAGGTTCAATATTCAGCTTTTCCACTTCTATTTATTTATTTCTATTTGAATAGCAGAATTACAGAAAGAAGGACAGACAGAGATTTTGCATTTACATAGTTTACTTCCAATTGCCTGCAATCGCTGCAGCTCAGCTGACCCAAAGCCAGCAGCTTCTTCTGGGTCTCCCATGTGGATACAAGGGCTCAAGGACTTGAGCTACTCTCTGCTGCTTTCCCAGGCCATAAGCAGGAAGCTGGTTGGGAAGTGGAGGAGTTGGGACTAGAATCCGTGCCAATATGGGACATCAACACTATAGGCTGAGGATTAGCCTGTTTAGAACTGCACCAGTCCCTGAACTGTCTTTGTAAAGCAAACTAATATCACTTCACACTCATCAGGATGTCTATTAACTAAAACAAGACAGAAAATCATCAATGTCGTCAAGGATGTGGATACACTGAATCCTTGTGCACTGCTTGATGGGATTGTAAAATGGGACAGTCACTGTGGAAAACAATATGGAATTTCCCCAATGAAAAATATTATCCAGTAACTCTGAGTACAGATATAGAAGTGAGAACATGAATTTGAACACTTGGGCATTTCACGATAGTCTAGTGGCTAAATTCTTGCATTGCAACTTCTGGTTTGTGTCCTGGCTGCTCCACTTCCCACCCAGCTCCCTGCTTGTGGCCTGGGAAAGCAGTCGAGGACAGCCCAAAGCCTTGGGACCCTGCACCCGCGTGGGAGACCCGGAAGAAGCTCCTGCCTCCTGGAATGAGATCGGCTCAGCTCTCGCCATTGCGGCCTCTTGGGAAGAGAATCAGTAGATAGATCTTTCTCTCTGACTCTCCTTCCCTCTGAATATCTCACTTTCCAATAAAAAATATTAAAAAAATCAGAAAAGATTTTGAACACTCATATAATAATTGCATTATTCACAACAGCCTCAAGATGGGGATAACACATGTTCATCTATAGATCAATGGGTAAACAAAATGTCATATATACAATATACAAGGAAAGACACCTAGAGACATGCTATGACACAGAAGGATCTGTAACACAATCCTAAATGAAAAGACAAATATGTGGCCTGGTGCAATAGTCTATCAGCTAAATCTTCCTCTTGCATCTGCCAGGATCCCATGTGGGTGCCAGTTTATGTACCAGCTACTCCACTTCCCATCCAGCTCCCTGCTTGTGGTCTGGAAAAGTAGTGGAGGATGGCCCAAACCCTTGGGATTCTGTACCCATGTGGAGACCCAAAAGATGCTCCTGGCTCTTGGCTTCAGAATGGCTCAGTTCTAGCCATTGTGGCCACTTAGGGAGTGAACCAGCAGATGGAAGATTTTACTTTCTGTCTCTCCTTCTCTCTGTAGGTCTGCCTTTACAATAAAAATAAATGAAATCTTTTAAAAGAAACTTTACAAAAGATCAAACATGCTTTGATTCCAGTCATATGAATGTGGTGCCGGGAGCAGTCAAATTCATAGTGACCGAGGGTAAGTAATAGTCAATAGGGACGAGGGGAGGGGCAGTACTGCACAACGGGTATGGAGCTGCAGTCAAGAAAATGCAAAGCTTTGGGAGATGGATGGTAATGACAGCTCCATCTAATATCTGAAAATCAAAGATTTTATGCATATTTTGCCACACTAAAAAATTCAGTTTGACACAGTTGTTGAGGCACAGCAGCATCCAACAGTCAGAGCGCCGGTTCAAACACCAGCTTCTTCCCTTCTGATTCAGCTTCCTACTAATGCATCCTGGGAGGCAGAAGATGGCTCAGGTACTTGCACCCCTGCCACGACTAAGTGGGAGAGCAGACTGAGGCATGGGCTCCCGGCTTTGGCTTAACTCCTGCTCAGCTATTGTGGACATGTGGGAAGTAAACCAGTGGACAGAGAGATGTGTTCTCTTTCTCTCCTTCTCTCTGCCACTCTGCCTTTCAAGTAGATCAAAGTAAATAAACACCTTAAAAACAATAAAATTTAACGCCCTTCCCAAGCTCAAAAAGGAACAGAGATAACTGGTTTCCTATTATTGACTGCTCGTGTGGTCTTGCGTTGGTTACTTAACCTCTCTGAAGTGCCACAAAAGCTTTGAACATATGGCACAAATACAAATGTGTTTGCTGCCTCCAAACCTCTATTCTGCCAAGAGCCTAAACTCTGCAAATATTAAAAGCCGGAGGCAGATGACCTGTAGTAGCAACTTCTGAGGCATTTCAGGCCTGCGGACAGCTCCTCCCACCATCTAAGAACAAAATCACTTACAGAAAACATGGTAGATCCTTTTCTGAAATCTTTAATAGTCATGTTTTCACCAAGATAATAATAGAATGGAAAACAATCAGCCCCTTCTTTCTGGCCTTTCCGAAGAGATAGATGTGACATAAGTTACACTTACCTGTACTGCCACCCAGTGACAAGATTGGTGTACTTCATTAAGTAACCATACACGTTTTCCATGTGGTCACTGTTTCCAAAAGAAGATAGGGGAATCAAAATTAGAAAAAAAATAGAAGAAATCTCAGTAAGAGAACTGCACAGTTTTGAAAATAGTTGCAGACATGCATTTTTTTTCTATAAATGCCTCAAACATTCTTCACTAGTAAAATTTATAGGTTAACAATCAGACCTTTAACCACCCCAATCTCATATCTGTAGAATTTATTTTATCAGATTTCTTCAACACAAGTATAATACCATTATAACTCCCTAAGTATGATTACAAACATTGCAGATATAAAATTCCTAAACACTATATTATATGACCATAAAATAAATGTATAAAATATAAACATTCTACTGTAAGTGAAAATACATTATTTGTAATTTTCCAATAGTGAAGCAATAAAATCCAGTCTGACAGCTCAAAAATACATTGAGAAAAGTTTCCTCTGACTGGTGACGCACACACATGGACAACCTGCTAGGTCTCTAACTCTCTGTTTCTAAAATGAAGATCTCGCCAATAAACAGAGTTTGACAATTTTCTCCCATTGCCACACCCGAGACAGGCATGAGCCAGAGTGTTCACTGCAAGTCTCAACATCAGGAGGAGTTGATGTACAACCAAGTTTCTTCATTCCCTGTTCTCCCTTTTTTCATTTATTTACACATATGGTCTGTCAGCATTCCAGAGGAAATACAATATAGCATGGTATTTCTCCTCCATTTAAAAAAAAAAACTTATTTATTTATTTGTTTGTTGGAGAGGCTAATTAACAGAAAGAGAAAGAAAGGGTCCAGCATGATGACCTAGTGGTTAAATCCTTGCCTTGCATCCACCAGCATCCCATATGGGCCACGGTTCATGTTCCAGCTGCTCCACTTCCCATCCAGCTCCCTGCTTGTGTTCTGGGAAACCAGTTGCGGATGGCCCACAGCCTTGGGACCCTGCACACACACGAGAGACGTAGAAGAAGCTCTTGGCTTCTGGCTCTGGATTGGCTCACGTCCAGCTGTTGTGGCCACTTGGGAAGTGAACCAGTGGATGGAAGGTTTTTCTCTCTGTCTCTCCTTCTCTCTGTATATCTGCCTTTCCAATGAAAACAATAAATCTTTAAAAAAAGAAAGGGAGGGAGGGAGGGAAGGAAGGAGGGAGGCAAAGAGAAACAGGACTTGCATCCACTGGGTGTTTTATTTTCAGTTCGATTTTTTTGTTATTGTTTCATTGTTATTTGACTATATTATTTTATAAAGATTTATGTATTTATTTCCATTTGAAAGGCAGAGTTACAGAAAGAGAAGACAGATGGAGAGATCTTCCATCCACTGGTTCACTCACTAAATAGCTACAAGGTCCAGAGCTGGGCCAATTTAAAGCTAGGAGCCAGGAGCTTCTTACACATCTCCCAGCTAGGTGCAGGCGCCCAAGGACCTGACCCTCCTCCACTGCCTTCCCAGGCCATTAGCATGAAGCTGGATGGAAAATGGAATTGCCATGACTTGAACCTGCATCCATTTGGGTTACTAGCATTGCTTGCAGAAGCTTAGTTGACTATGCTTCTTTTTATTTATATTATTTATTCAAAAAGTAGCAACAGAACAAGAGAGGTAGATAGATCTCCCATCCACTCATTCATTACCTAAATGCCTACCACATTTGGGGCTAGGCCAGACCAAAGCCAGGAGCCAGAAATTCAACCCAGTTTTCCCACGTGAATATCAAGAACCGAATTATCTGAGCCATCACCTGTTGCCTCCCAGTATGTGTACTGGCAGGAAGTAAAATTAGATTGGAGTCAGGACTCAAATCCAGGCATTTGGGTCAATAAAGCATGGCAGCTGTCCTGAACCACATCTTAACAGTGTGTCAAATGTCTGCACATTTTTCTGCTTTCTCCTATTCCAAGGGTTAGGCAGCAATTCTGTTTATCAGGTCAAACTGCTCAAGTCCTATTTGGTTTCATAAAACAACCCATCTCAGGAAGACAAAGGCTGCAAGCTTCTAAAATGTTAACCCAAAGTCCTGCTAATGAGAAATCAGCCATTCCGTTGTATTAAACCGACATCTCCAGCTCAATTCTTTCCCCATTTTCTAGAGCAAACAACCACAGCAACAAAGCTCTTGCTACATTTCTCACACTTCCAGCCCTGGTCACCGTCAAGCCATTTCTTTCAGCTCCTTTAGTGCTTAGACAAGCACAGACATATTTTTCTTGTCTAGTTTCCAAATGTTTCCCAAATTTGGGGCTTAAACAGTACTTGGGACCACAGGAATCCCAAAACCCCTGGACTCTGTCCAAGAAAAGTCTCCCTAAAGAGTTCCTCCTCTAATTTTGGTTCTTAACACACAGCTCAGCTTCCGCAAATTGTTCTTGCGCAAAACATTTGTTTCTTTTGTCCATTCTGTCCCGGAGCTTCCTAACCTCAGTATTCATTTAGACTCAGCAATAATCCAGAAAAATGCCCACGGCAGCATAGCATCTAAATTAATATGTCCCTCAGGTGCCAAGACACTCCATAACACACCATTTGGGGAAATCCACCCTTTAATCCAGGTTCTCTACACCAACACTGCATTACTAGGTATCTATTCAAAGCAATTAGCATGTCACAAAAACATTACAGCAATTATAGCGCTATGCCTCAGGTTCTAGGACTACTATGTAGTCTTCAAATGCATACGAACCATGAAGATAAATTTGCACAAAAACTCAAGTATACTATCTACACCTGAGAAAACAAAACTTTTGTATCAAACCCTTTAAAGAAAATGCATCATCTCCTTTACTTTTATCCAGTCACTTCCCTTATATTATTAAAGTATCCCTCATTTTAGTCACACCTAAGTTATTTGTATCATTCATTCAATAAATTTTTTTAAAAGCATACAATTTTGGGGCCAAGTAGTAGCACAGTGGCTAAAGTTCTCACCTTGCACACCCAAGATCCCATATGCATGCAGATCACATATGGGTACTGGTTTATGTCCCAGCTGTTCCACTTCTCATCCAGCTCCCTGTTTGTGGCCTGGGAAAGCAGTCGAGGACGGCCCAAAGCCTTGGGACCCTGCACCCGCATGGGAGACCTGAAGAAGTTCCTGGCTCCTGGCTTCGGATCAGCTTTGCCCTGACCGTTGTGACCACTTCTGGAGTGAATCAGTGAATGCCAGACCTTTCTCTCTATATCTCTTTCTCTGCATATCTGCTTTCCAATAAAAATAATATAATAAATATATTTTTTAAAAAGCAAACAATTTCATACGTCAATTTCAATAACATTTTTCTTCATATTTCACAATGCAGAAATATTTTGTGTGTGCAATTTTCTGATGTTATAAATATTTTACTGAAGTTTACATCTAAAAAGTTAACTCATAAAAATTACAAGGACACCAACATTTAAAAATTCTTTTTTTGGGTGGGGGCAGGGGGTAGCAGCAAGAGAAAGAGAGCCCCATCTGTAGGCTCACTCCCTGCCACAGCTGGTGTTGACATGGTCTGTCTGACGCAGCAGAAAGCCAGCCTGAGAAGCAGCAGAAACCGAAACCAGCAAATATAAACTGTTGGCCTGGCTTTACTGTATGAAACAGCTGCCTGCAGGGTATCATGGCCCATTCTCTTTGTAAAAGAGGCTGTCCTGGGCCCGGCACGGTGGCGCAAGTGGTTAAAGGTCCTCGCCTTGCACGCCCGGGATCCCATATGGGCGCCGGTTCTAATCCCGACAGCCCCGCTTCCCTTCCAGCTCCCTGCCTGTGGCCTGGGAAAGCAGTCGAGTGCTTTGGGACCCTGCACCCGATTTAGACCCAGAAGAGGCTCCTGGCTTCGGATCGGCATAGTATCGGCCCGTTCGCTCACTTGAATGAATCATCGGACGGAAGATCTTCCTCTCTGTCTCTAATCCTGTATCCGCCTTTCCATCCAAAACCCTAAAAATGGCCTTTAAAAAAAAAAAAAGAGGCTGTCCTGGCTCTCTCTCATTTTTCCCATTTTCCATAAACTCCACAGATGAGCTGCTCCTCAGAGCAGCCTGTGATGTGGAACAACTGTGCCATCTGGTGGCCATCATCAAAAGTTTTGTGATAGGTCATGTTATGTTGCCACTTTTTTTTTTCTTTAAGATTTATTTATTTTTAGGGTCCGGCACGGTGTTCTAGTGGCTAAAGTTCTCGCCTTGAATGCTCCAGGATCCCATACGGGCACCAGTTCTAATCCTGGATGCCTCATTTCTCATCCAGCACCCTGCTTGTGGGTTTCCCACATGGGTGCAGGGTCCCAAGGACCAAATAGCATCATTACATTTGCACTCATCTAGATATTTTAATAGTGATTGTTTTAATTACAACACACTTATTTTTTAACCCATCCTTACCACACTAAAAATATATCTAAAATTCGGGCTACCACTTAGGCACAGCAGGATAACCTACTGACTATAGTACTGACATCCTGTATGGGTGCCAGTTCGAGTCCCAGCTGCTCCACTTCTAATCCTCCTGCAAATGCACCTGGGAAAGCAGCAGAAGATGGTCCAAGTCTTTGCACTTGGCTACCCATGTGAGAGACCTGGAAGAAGTTCCTGGCTTCTGCCTGCTCCAGTCCCAATCATTGTGGTCATCTGGGGAGTAAACCAGCAAAGGGAAGATTGCTCTGTCTCTGCCTTTCACTTTCAACCTGCAACTCTGCCTTTCAAATACACACACATACATTAGAAATTACGCTACTTTTTCAGTGGTTTCAAATTCTTTCCTTTCAATTAAACACAATTATGCAATACCAACTAAATAAAAAGCACTCTGAAAACATACTGCCAAGTAGGGGGGAAAAAAAGGAAAAAAAAAAAAAGACAAGGCCTCTCTATCCCAAGTTCATAATCTGATCCAAGAGAAGCACACCCCCACGAAGAAAGCGACAAAGTAAGCGCTCACAGCACTGCAAAAGACCGACAGGAATATACTTTGAGCCTTTTCACAAATAAGACAAGGTGCTTCATTAAACACAATGCAGGATGCAGTAGTGATGGAGGAGG